TATGGATATTGTTAAACAAGGTATGTACTTTAAATTTATTTCTAAACAAGTTCGTGATTTTAGTCATTTTTCGTTAGTTTTTATTTATTTTTTAAGATGATTCTTAAATGGGTATAAAAATTTTACGTTTTCAAACTTCAAAAAGGCATTAAAAAAAACATATCAAAACATATCGTATTTATTAAATATTTTTGTTGTCATATTCATACACTTATAATTTTTGTATAGTTCACCTGCGTCTGCTTGCGACGAACTTTATTTTATAATACTTTTCAGATGAAGTAAAATTGATAAGCAATGCCAATCTTACTGGTTAATACTTGGCTTGATCATAAGGATAAGAACTCAAAATTATTTGTATTTCAAAAAATGTGTTCTTTATTAGATATTGGTAAACCTTCCAGTCCAATGAGACACCACTTGTGCCTGAAAAAGCCCACTATGTTGGAGCGAAACGTGGCATATAAAAAGTTTCCATCTTTCATTTTATTATAAAACCTTATACCCAAGAAAAGGAAAAAATAATATATGGATATGGTCTATTAAAGAGGTAACTATTAACATCCGAACACCTCATATCAACAAAAAGAACAGTAACAACGCGAAAAAGTAACATATTAGAAAATGATGTACAGAAATATCTTATATGTGAGGATAGTTCACCTACTTGTGATTTGGATACTATAAATTTAGAAGATTCTGTCAGCAGTGATTCTTCTGAATCAGAATAGTTACGATCTATGCATTTTGTTGTCCTAAAGTAAATTTATAGTATCTTAAGTTTCTTTTAATTAAATATAGCATTAATGTTTCTTTTTCATTAAAGAAAAACATTTTTATCTTATATTAGGCTTATATTGTAGGAATCATGTTCTAATGTTATTCCAATTCTTTTTTATCACAGGGATTTATTTAATACTTACACCGTTTTCATACTATAAATTATTATTTCCTTAGATGGAACACAGCTCCAACATTTTTATTATTTATAAGATTTTTTTTTCATAAACGTGGGACTAAGAAAATCAACATTTAGTACAATGTGAGTACTCATCATTTGTGTCAAATAAACCTAGTTTGAATAAATTGCCTACAATAAAAGAGAAGTTTTGCATTTTTGTCCTCTAGAGCCATATGTTCGAAGCACTGTGCGTCGTTTCGTTAGATGTTTTTTATTATTGTAATTAACTTTTGGGGAAAAACTCAACAAGAAAAACAGTTATTCAGTTATGAAAACAAAATAATGGCAAACATTTCAATCGTTTATGATTTGCTGACGATTTTTTCTTAATTACATTGAAAGGCTCAAATACACTGACGACCAGGTCGCAGCGACCAGTATTTGAATCAATGTTATTACTGGTCGCAGCTGCGTTTCCTAATTACATGGAATCAAATGCTGGTCGCTGCGACCTGGTCGTCAGTACGTTTGAGTCCTTAAACGGCCCACAGACGATCCAATCTGTTGTACAACAAGTTGGACGATTTGGTTTGATCCATCTATTTAAACGATAATCGTAACATCTGTGGGCTTGTCGTCCAACTTGTCGTTAAGACGCGGTTGGATCGTTTGGTAGTTCAGCATGTTTTAAGCGGGCCACTCACGATACTGCGGCGTCATATAAAAGAATCGTACAACAAAATTGAACAATTTTGCAGCAAATTGACAATGATCACTCACGATCAAACCTTTAGTTTAAAACTGTTGTTCAAGCAAACATGTCGGAAAGCGAAGAAGAAATTTGGTAACAACAGCTGCAGTATGTGCAGTGCAAACAATAATTGAAAAACGAAAGAAACGATATTGTAATCGAAGGTGGTGGTATTATCGAAAGAATGGTTAATAAAAAGATCCACATATTCACATATTAATTTATTCGAAGAATTATACGGCTGTACCCAGATGATTGGCGTAATTATCTACTAATGGACGAAGACTCATATTTAGAGTTACTTAATTTAGTTGCACCCTTCATTAGAAGAAAAGATACGAATATGGGCTCCACTTCTTTCAATTTTGCAACTAGAGTACTCATTGCCCGTTTTCTTGCTACACGATCATGATACTCTGGGGCTTTAACTTTCGAAAGACACGTAAAACTTCCGTAGATTTCAAAAAACTTAGTTAAAAATTGCTGGGAATATTTAGACATCTTTACAGAAATCGGCACGATTTTACTGCTGCAGTTAAAAGTTTCGAACTGCGATCCAATACAATTCAACTAGGTCTGTTGTGCACACACACGATACAATATTGTCAATTGTCGTCCGATTTTGTCGTATCCAACATAATCGTAGTGCGGCGTAGTATCAGGAGTGGCCCGCTTTAAGTGCTGTTAACAAAGTGAGTTATGTTGATGTAAATAATAACTGTTTATGTGTTTATATATTTATAATTAATTTATTTTTAATTTCTAAAATATTTCGATGAAAAGAAAATAGGTAAAAGTGGGCAAAGCTGTACCGATCAAGCTTAATCACGTGACTAAAAGTTTATTTGATATGAACTATATAGATTTTAATACCAATGCTCGAATAACGGCGTCGAGTAGGCTTGGAAATGAACATTGATGCCATTCCCTTTCCCAAAAATGCCATTTTTTTTCAATCATATTGTATTACTCAATTATGATAATATTACATTAAAATAACAAAGTATAATAAAATACTAAAAAAGTAAGAACGAAGAAATAAAGAAATAAAACATCGTCGAAAAAAAAATATTAGATTCTAATATAAACTTTAAAATTAAGAAATTAATTAATATTCAAAAGAAGGTTCAAGAAAATACACAAACATATACTTTAAAATTAAATAATTAAAAACAAATTAAAAAAAAATACTACTAAACTGGCATGTAGAAAAACCAAAACCTCTGGTGCATTTTGTGCCAAATCATTTATATAGATAAGAAGTGATTGTGTGTTGTATTGCTAAAGAAATGATATTAACCAAATCCAAATATCATTATTTCTGAAACAGGAAACCTAATGCTAAAAAAGTCAAGTATGACTTTTTGATAAGAATTTACATCAACGAAATTTCTGTAATAAATAAATATCATTATTTTTATGAAGCAGAGAAATTAATGCTAAAAGAATCAGGTATTAATCTTTTTATTAGAGTTTATTTTGTGATGGGTGATTATATAATATGGGTGGTTCTTTATGAAGAATAATATTATGGGTGGTTCTTTATGAACTTATTACTATTTGTATGATGTCTAGATTAAACTTTTTTTATAATAATTTGTCAATATGTATCATCAAAAAAACGGGTAAGTCAATTTTTTGCTATATTTAAATATTCGGTGCATTTTGTTCAGAGTGAACGTAAGCAACTATAGAAGCCGCAAAACTGGGAAAAAAGCAACTTAGTCGGAAGATATATCACACTCTATGGTTATTCTATCCAGGAAAAACAGCAGACAAGTCAAGCTAAAAGAGGAAAGAACCAGGCAACTCATTGTTTAGTTCATCCGTTACAATGCTATTTCATCTAATAAAAAATACCTTTACCAAGTTCTAACAAATCACTATTACCCTATTTTTATGAGTTCCTGTACTCTATTTTTGTAATGTTTTGATCAGCACTTTTTTCAGTTTGGCGAAAAATTGACTTACCTGCTTTTTTTCCCGACCGCGACCCTTCATTTTCTAATTTTGCTAATGTGTTGATTTTTCCCTTTATACAGGGTGTTTCCAAAAACATATGCCATCTCTCGTGGGGAAACTCTTCACGTAAAAATAATATTTATTTTTCATATCAACATAGGTCCCATTTTTCTAGTGTTATTTTTTTGGATTTATTAGGTATAATTTTCTTCCAAGTACTTTTAGCGATTCCAATGAAATTTTGAGGGTAAAGGTTACTGTAAATGCGATATATTTTCATGCTAAAAAAGTGTCGCCTGTTCACCAGGGACGTGTATACGGGTTATCACTGGAATATTTTTTTAAAAATGCATGTACTCACTGACTTTTTCTTCTCTTGTTAGGGAAATAGTAAAGCCAATTAATGCCAATTAAAAGTTGTCTCTTGATATTTTGTCGATTTTGGTCTCTTTGATGAGATAGACGCAATTTTATTAATTTGCTTTGATCTAATAGCTAATATAGCTATTAGATTAGACTATTAGCTAATATAGCTAATAGTCTAATAGCAACCTTTAATATAAATTAATATCATTAACTTGCTGCTTAAGTTTTAAATAAATATTCATTGATTCCTCATCAAAAAATATGAAAAAAAATCCTATAAACATGGGTATGGAAATGCATAGTTTCGTAGTTTTAAAATTACAGGATGTTAAAACTTTTGAAATTAGGTCTTTTGTAATTATCTTAAATTCCATTATTTTTTTATTTGGATTTGCTGTAGATTAGTCTAAGAGTAATTATAACTAATAGTAATAATATTTAATAATAAATTACAGAAAATAAATAATTTATTAACTTTATTTTTAATTTAATTTTATTAATTGTGATTAATAAAATTATTGCGTTTATCTCATCAAGGAGATCGACAAAATATTAAGATACAACTTTTAATTGGCATCAAACGGACTATAGAATTTTGCTATCAAAGAAGAAAAGTCAGTGGTGTACATGTTTTTTTTAATATTCCAGTGATAATCCATATGCACACCCCTGATGAATCTATCGACACTTTTTTAGCATTGGAATATAGCACTTCTAGTAACTTTTACCTTCAAAATTTCATTCAAGTCACTAAAAGCACTTGGAAGAAAATAATAATAGATCGAAAAAAAATAAAGACTTTAATCCCCCGTAGATACGAAACAAAGCAGAATCGGACCTATGATGATACGAAAAATAAATCTTATTTTTACGTGAGGAATTCCTCCACGAGAGATGGCACATGCTTTTTGAAACACCCTGTAGATCTTTGTCTGGATAATTTGTTATTGTAAAATAAATTGTCATATGAATGACACCATGAGAGAAAGGCAATAATGAAATATTAAAAAAAATACAAACCTTATTCTACGTAAAATTATATTGTATCTTAAATCCTAATAATAAACTTTAAAATATAAATAATAATAAAAAACGAAATTAAAAAACTGGCTCTAAACTGGCATAGAGAAAAACAAAAAAACTGGTGCGTAACTTTGCGTCAAATCATATGTTTCGATTGGTCGCGCGCGCGTATATTTCGCGACCGCGTCGTCGTCGGCGTCGTCGAGAGCGAGCGGCGCCGGTGTGGCAACGTCGCTGGCAGCGCGGCAACGACTGGCGGCATAAGGCACGAGGCGCGCGCCCGACCGCCCAGCCGAGCCCCCCACGAAACGGCGCTCTACGGGGACCGATCGATAAGCAAGATCGACAATATCGACCGGAAGATATTTACTATCTTTGCCATCTTTTAGGGGGATATAAAAATTGGTCAACTGCGAGTCGGACTCGCGCACGAAAGGTTCCTGCACGTCATCAATCACATCGACATTGACACTAAAGCCTATAAACCTGAGTAAATGAAATTTTAGCAAAAATGTTTAAATTTGTTTACTTATTTAAGATACCAAGCAGCTCTTCATTATACTTTATAGAGCAAATGATTGTAACAGATATTTTATTTAGATTAAAGCTGCAAAAATTAGTTTAAACCGATTTTTATTATCGCCTTGTTGGTCACATTGCGCCATGTTCAGCAATGTTGTCGTGTATTATTTGACAATTATCCTAGTGTCAGTCATTATTTTGTATAATATCCTGTTGTTGAATTTTGGGGAGTAATTCTCGTTTTTTGCCGTTTTTCATAGTTTTTTTTCCTAAATTGTACTTCTAAGCACAAACAGTTCTTTTAAGAACTAAATTTTCGAGATTTTTTACTGCATTTTTTGAAATTGTGGATTGAAAATATGCCGAAGCCTTCAAACAGTCGAAGCAAAGCGCTTTTAGCTTCCCTGATAAAATATTTTGAGCGCAAACGTGACAATAAAGGTCCTTTATTATCCTTGAATGCAGTCAGAGAAGTAAGATTGGTTGGTAAGCACATTATACCACTTTCAAGTTATTTCTACTTATTTCAATTTGTAGCAAGTAGCTGCTGACATAAAAAAAATATATATAAAAATTATATACTAAATATATTGTTTGTCACTTTTAAATTAAGATTCGTCTCAAAAATCCATCACAATCTGGCAGCGCTGTCGCCATCGCTTGTCACTCAAAGTTGATGATGTGCATCGGAAAATGTTTTAAAATTTCAAATAAACTTTTTTTCCGATTTAGCTGAAATTTTGAATGCGCGTATAAGTAATTAAAAAAAATGAAGAAACACATTACTAAAAATGGTATTAATCAATAATAAATATGTAAAAAGTAAAAATAAATATGTAAAAATATGTAAAAATTAAAAAAAAAACGATTAAAAAAAGTCGCCTTCACTAGGATTCGAGCCTGCCTTACTACGGCTCCAACGTCATAGCAGCGTAAAGTCCTAACGCTTTAACCACGCGGCCACCGAGGACTTGAAAGATTCTATGTAAAATTCTTACTTAAAAGATAATGTTTAGTGAAAGTACTTTTTATGTATAAACGTTTATTTAATTCTGTTTTTAGTATTTGTTCTTATAGCGGCAACATAGATACAGTATCTGTGAAAATTTCAACTGTCTAGCTGTAACGGTTCATAAGATAGACCTTTGTGACAGACGGACGGACGGACGGATAGCTAAGTCTTAGTAATAGGGTTCCCGTTTTTACCCTTTGGGTACGGAACCCTAAAAACGGATTTTTACTAGCGTTTCTATGTAGCATGAGTGGGAATCACTGACTGCGACCTTAAAGATCTATTTTATTCCCCTTCCTTAAATTATACCTCATCGTACAGTCTATAACCCTTATAACCCATCATACTTCAGGATTTTCCTGTTCTAGGAGGGACAGAGTATTTCCCATCCTCCTCTGACAACAGATGTTCTTCCTCTGACGGTATACGCACAACCAAACTTATATGGAATCACTCTTTATTTCTGACTAAATTTCTTGCAAGGAAAAAAATTATTATAAGGCTTTTTGTTGTAAATAAACATGATAATAAAAAATAAGCAGCTGCTGCGATTTATTTTCTTTTGAATTTTGTGTTCAGTAGTAAAATCACGATTGTCTGGTAATTTTCATTCGACCCAAAAGAAATGCCTTATGTTAGATTAACAGATGTACAGAGGTGAAGAATTATTACTCTTTTGAAGAAGGAATGCCCCAAAGAGACGTAGCAGAGATAGTAAGCGTTACCCAGAATGTTGTATCGAAAACATATGCAAGGTACTTCGAATTAGGAACACACCAGAACAGGCACAGACAAAGTCGTCAAAGAGTCACAACTGAACAAGGCCGCCTTGTGTGCCAAATTGCTAGAAGAAATCCCAATGTTTCTCATCCAGAGCTAGGTTTCTCATCCACAGCTACAGGTGTGAACGTTTCAGTTGAAACAATAAAAAAAAGGTTTTGTGCTCAAGGGTTTAACAGCAGGAGAGAGTTACGGATCCCAGATCCCACAGTTATCTCGGCAAAATAAAATTGACCGGCTAAATTGATGCCTTCAACATCAAAACTGGACAACTGAAAATTAACAAAATGTTCTTTTTTCGGATGAGACCAGAATTGGCCTAAGATCAGATGACCATCGAATTTGGATTTTCAGAGCCCCAGGAAAACGAGCGAGACTCCAGGCAGCGAAATCTGTACCAAAATATAAAGGAGGAACTGTAATGTTCTGTGGAGATATTATGCTCGGAGCAAAAACTTCAGTGTTACTACTTCAACAAAGTTTAACGGGTCGGAGGTATGTTGATTTAGTGCTAGAACCAATTGTTAATCTTTGGAGAGTTGCAATTGGGCATAATTTTAACTTCATGCACGATGGTGCACCTCCCCATACCAGCAGAGTGACAAAAGAATGTCTTGACACGGAAGGTGTCATAGTTTTGGACTGACCTGCATGTTCACCAGGTCTAAACCGTATCGAACACTTGTGCGACCAGCTTAAAAGAAGGGTTAGAACTCGTCGAAACAATCCAGGAAATCTCGCACAGCTTATGGATGCAGCATTAGCAGAATGGGAAAACATGCTCTAGACAACGTTGTTAATAATAAGAAGCATGCCAGCGCAGATAGAAGCTTGCATAAGGGGTGACAACAAGGATTATTAAAGTTATTAATTTCCTTTTTGTTTTTGCTTTTTGGCCTTATTTTGAGAACTGATTTTTTTTATTGCTCTATGGATTATTTTTCATTAAAACTCATTGGTCAGGACTGAGTTTTATTCATAAATACAAAATTTTCATACGTCTCAAAAATTATGAAAAATAATAGATGCTTCCATATAAGTTTGGTTGTGTGTACACCCTCCCATGGTAGGGGTTTGGCCCTCCGTGCCCTTCATAGTCGAGGAGTTTCCTGAAGGATCTCTCTTCATTTTCTCCACCGCTTTAAGTTGGTCTCTCCTTAGACCTGATACGGGTCTAAGTGTGTTGTTCGGAATCTATAATAGAGGATAGAGGATATATCTAAAAAATAAAACCAAAGAACCCAGGTCAAAACAGCAGTCTCTTATAAAGTCATTTCCTTATTATATACTATGTTTTGCTATGTGAATTATTAACGTGTAACTGAAATAAAAAAAGTATTAAAATAAAATATTTAAAAAAAAACGTAAAATGAAAATTAATGCAAAACATTATCAAAGAATAATAATAATAATAAATAACGCTTTATTGTGCAAAAAGCCAAAATAGCTTCATCAACAAGGCCTTTACAAAACTAAACAAAAACACAAAAAAAATATACAATACAAATCATACAATTCAAAGAAAATTAAGTCATTAAAATTACAAATAGAACATACAGGAACATTGCAGAACACAAAAAAGGCGTATTTTAAAATTTTACAATAGGAAAATTGCAAATGGATATAATTTTAAGAGTTATAAAATATTAAATACGCGACTTTTGACATGTGTGTGAGATGATCAAAATTTTAAAATTCAAAATTGTTCATGATTAAACATCAACAAAAAAGTCGTTTACCGCATATAGGGCTCTCTCCAGTAAGTATGATTTCAGAGGAGTGGCGGATACAGAGGGGGGCCCATGGGGCTCGCCCCCCCTAAAATCTGTAAATTGTGTTAAATAGTAGGCTTTTTGTTAAAAATTGCGCCCTAAAAAGCATATTCTACATTACTTTTTATTTTGACCCCCCCTAAAATAAATTGCTGTATCCTCCCCTGTTTCAGAGGTTTGCGAAATGCGGGAAAGAATGAAAGCGATTTTATATTCAAACGCAGATGATTGTACATTTTTTTGGCATTGTACGTATTGAGCCTTTAACTAGCTCTGAGCTCGGTTGGCAGATAAAGATTGTGCTTCGCCTTCCTAATTGGATAGTTGTGAGATGGCCCTTCGGGAATAGCAGATATGTGCTTGCGGATTAAGCAAACGGATTGAAAAATGCATAAAAAAGAAGTCAATATATTGAAATTTTTAAAGAATTTCTGGCAGTGTGAGTTCTACTGTTCAGTCCCATAAATAAATATTGTAGTAATATGTGGTATTTTGTCAAAATAATAATTGCCTTTTTAACTTTATTTTTTAGGAATTATGTAACAAAAAAGAGGAAGATTAGCATCAAAAAATCTTTATTTAATGATAATTATAACAGTATAAATATTTTATTTAACAAATATCTTTATTACGTCATTACAATAGGTATAACTCATAAAGAATCTTTATTCCATTAAATTGATTTAAAATTTGATATACGAAAAACACATTAAGTACCTATACAGGGTGTCTCAGAAATAAGTGCAAGTGTTTTAACTGATAGTATATTTCGGCCTCAGAAACACGCCTATGAGGTACTTTTGTGAAAAAAAAAATTGAAAATTTGGAATTTTTAAAAAAAAAATTTGGAAATTTTTTTAGTCTTAAGTTAAAAATACATAAATTTTTGATAATATGGCTATATAAGTAGTAGATTAAATTTACACGAAAGAAAATCCAGGAAAGATCCAGTGATTCTCAAAATTTAAGCATAAAAGCATTTCTTGTTTAAATTTTCAAAGTAAAATAATTCTGTTATTTTAGACATAATTGAAAAACGGTAAAGAGAAAAAATGTTTCTTTTGACCAGATCTACCACCCCTTAAAATACTTGCACTTATTTCTGGGACGCCCTGCATAAACCAATATCACTGGATGAAAATTTCAAGTAGAAATAATTATTTAAATATTTGCTCATATGCGTTAGGCACAATCTTCTGTTACTTTAGTAAAAAAATAGACAATGAACTGTACAAAATATAGTTATAAAAATAACTTCAATATTAAAAAGATGAACTTAACAAATAAAAGCCAAAATGCTGTCAAAAGAAAATAATGGGCTATCATTAATTTGTAATATCTTCTGGTACCTTGTGGAATAGTGTCTAACGGATCTTTCAGTAAATAAACTCTAGCTCCTAAAACAAAGTAATATACTATAGAATAATTATCACAATTATTATAAATAATATATACGTTATAATAATTAATAATTATATTTATACATATACAATTCACTAAACCCCCAAAAAATACGCATTAAAGTTTTTTTTTCTAATGGAACACCCTATATATTAAATGATTTTAAGATTTCAGGAAAAAAATAAAGATGAGTTTCATTAAAGAAACATATTATATGCCTAAAATGTAAAGGTTTTTACATATTTCACATTTTGTGAAAATGAAGAATAAATTTTAAATTACAATAACATCTACCTAAATTGTAATTTACCCTATAGCCCCATATATTTAGTAAAAATAACCATTGTATGTTAAACCAAATTAAAACTTGACCCGAAAAGTTATACAGGGCGAGACAAATTAATATTGAACATTGATCACTTTTAGAAGCAAATTACTCCTTTATTTTAAATGGAACATCGAGTATATTATACCGATATGCAATGGAGAAATCATATATATCTCATATATACACACATAATCATATATATATATATATCATATATCATCATCTTCAAAAGACTATTAAGGTTCCCTACTCCTTAGAGAAAGATTTTCCTAGATATTTTCATTTTTATGATTTTGCGTCAGAAGGGTCTTTATTATTTGACAACATCTTAGGAAAATGTTTAATATCTCAAAAACCTTACATTTTAGTCATATACTTCTCTAATGAAACTCACCTTTATTATTCTTCTAGAATCCGAAAATCAATTAATATATAGGGGGTTCCATTACAAAAAAAAAACAAGTTTGATGTCTAACTTTTTTGGGGGACACCCTGTAGAAGTCTATATATTTTTATAAAATGCTTTTAATTAACCTACATATGCTCCCAAAATTTCATTTTAATATAAACTACCGTTCTCCTTGGAACATCTGCGTCGTAGGAGAGGCGCCACTCTGTATATCTACAAAATTTCTCGGTATATTTTTGAGACAATTAATTATTTTTTTGTAATATTTTATATACATATATAATAATATATTAATGAGAGTCATTATAAAAAAGACACATCTTTATTGTATAACTTTTTGGGGACACCCTATAGAACTCTCTATATTTAAAAAGAAATCTCTAAATTAACCTACATATGCTCACAAAATTTCATTTCAATATAAACTGTCGTACTCCTTGGAGCCTCCGCATCGTATGACTGAGGCCACCCTGTATATTTCAATAAAAAAATAGAAAATATATTAAAAAAAATTGTATTAATATTAAATTAATTATTAAAGTTTCAACTTTTAAAGAACTTACATCTAATATTTTTGTAGTATTATATCCAAAGACTCTATATTATTGACAAATTAAAACAAAAGAACATTAATTTTCCTGTCAAACTTCATGTTAAATCTCAATTCCAAAGCCTTCGCGGTGATCCCAAACGTATTGTATATCAGAATGTCATAACACAATACATTTCTAGGCCAACTAGTTTCTTCTTGTCACTGTCACTGTCAGATGACTTATTGCAACGTTACCATAGTTAATGGAACTTTGATTGTCGTTTTAATCAAGTCGACTTTTGTTCAGGTTTTTATTTTTATCTGTCATGAAAGTATTAAATTGTCAAAAAACGCAAGCGTTATTCATTAAATTTTGATTAATATAAATGAATGCGATAAAATCAAGAAATTCAAGCATCAAAATGGAAGTAAATTCGTATAATAGCAGAATTCTAAGATCAGAGATCAGGAATAATTTAAATTCAGGAGATTATGGTCACGTGGAGAAGCAGAGTGCCGTGATACAACCCAAAGAGCCACAAGTGAGTAAAAGTTTGTCAAAATTTGGATGGCATAGCGTAAATTCTGCCTGCCATATACCGTATATCCTAGTCGGAAATATGCAATATGTCTCTACAAGAATCGTCAACGAAAAAGTTTTTGTATGTTTCCGTGAATTTAACGTAGAAATATACAAGTGCCTTAGAGTAAATTCTTATCCACTGATTGAAGAAGAGGCTGATTTGTTTAACGAGATAAACTTCAAACATTGCGATGGTCTTTATGGAAGTATCTTGTTTATGGAAGGAAGAGATCGGAAAATACTTTTAGCAGATTTTATAGAACTGTATAATTTTTTAATTATGTGCAGTAGAGTTTTGACTTACTTAGTTCACGATACTCCCCATTTAATTTACGAAGATGTTTGTGGTTTTATACGTGTTAATTCTGAAAGTTTTGTACCTTACGTAGTTAGAAATAGCCTTAAGCTGGTACCCGCTTTCTATTTTGAAGGAGATAATTCCAAATTAAAAGGGAGATGTATAAAACCGGAAAAGTGGGAAATGACTTATTTGAGATTTTTATTTAAACTACAATGTCTAAAAGAAGAATTTCACATATTAGAAACCTGCGACATTATAAATTTTAATATCATTAAAGACTATTTTAGTCCAAACACAACGTTTACCTATATTTGGCCAAAATGTAAATGTAACTGGTTAAAACTTAGCAATAAAAAGTCTCAAATAAAATAATAATTATAATTTTCAATAAAATATAGCATAATTTATTGTTCTATTTATTATGTTTTAATGTGTATTGTATTTAATGTATTATTATTGCATTCAATTCTTTGATGTTTTGTCGTTCAGTTCATATTAAAATTGATAGTTGATAATTTTTATTTTGCAGTTTTTGTTGTTAACCTTCAAAAATAAAAAAAATACTAACCTCTGATGTAAGTATGAAAGTAAAAATCCCAATTTAGGGTTGCTATATTGAAGTCAAAATGTTCTTTATCATTCTTTTTCATTCTTTTCCATAAAGATTTGACATTTTCGTTTCTAAACTTCCACTCATTCATTGTAAAATGTGTTAAAACATTTGCAAACTTGTTAATTTTCTTGTAACTTTTCACCACCCTGCAAAAAATCAATATTAAACTTTTTGCAGATATAATTAACTTGAAGTTTCTATTTCAGTTAAATTGCGTATATTTTCTTATTAATATATTGGTTTTTATTTTTTTCTGTAAAAGCATATTTCAGGATAAAAAAAATGTGTATAATTAGGTATACGAAAAATTATTTTTTCTACGATCGTGCAAAAAGTAGCTACTTTTGCACTATCTACTGTATTAAAAATCAATTTTTTTACACTAGTGCAAAAAGTAACTAAAAACAAAAACACCTTGACATTATTGATGACGATAAAAAAAATGTGTAAAATTAGGTACCTATACGAAAAATACTTTTTTCTACGATCGTGCAAAAAGTAGCTACTTTTACACTATCTACTGTATTAAAAATCAAATTTTTTACACTAGTGCAAAAAGTAACTAAAAACAAAAGCACCTTCACATTATTGATGACGATAAAAAAAATGTGTAAAATTAGGTATACGAAAAATATTTTTTTCTACGATCGTGCAAAAAGTAGCTACTTTTACACTATCTACTGTATTAAAAATCAAATTTTTTAAACTAGTGCAAAAAGTAACTAAAAACAAAAACACCTTGACATTATTGATGACGATAAAAAAAATGTGTAAAATTAGGTATACGAAAAATATTTTTTTCTACGATCGTGCAAAAAGTAGCTACTTTTACACTATCTACTGTATTAAAAATCAAATTTTTTAAACTAGTGCAAAAAGTAACTAAAAACAAAAACACCTTGACATTATTTATGACGATAAAAAAAATGTGTAAAATTAGGTATACGAAAAATATTTTTTTCTACAATCGTGCAAAAAGTAGCTACTTTTACACTATCTACTGTATTAAAAATCAAATTTTTTACACTAGCGCAAAAAGTAACTAAAAACAAAAACACCTTGACATTATTGATGACGATAAAAAAAATGTGTAAAATTAGGTATACGAAAATATTTTTTTCTACGATCGTGCATAAAGTAGCTACTTTTACACTATCTACTGTATTAAAAATCAAATTTTTTACACTAGTGCAAAAAGTAACTAAAAACAAAAACACCTTGACATTATTGATGACGATAAAAAAATGTGTAAAATTAGGTATACGAAAAATATTTTTTTCTACGATCGTGCAAAAAGTAGCTACTTTTACACTATCTACTGTATTAAAAATCAAATTTTTTAAACTAGTGCAAAAAGTAACTAAAAACAAAAACACCTTGACATTATTGATGACGATAAAAAAAAATGTGTAAAATTAGGTATACGAAAAATATTTTTTTCTACGATCGTGCAAAAAGTAGCTACTTTTACACTATCTACTGTATTAAAAATCAAATTTTTTACAATAGCGCAAAAAGTAACTAAAAACAAAAACACCTTGACATTATTGATGACGATAAAAAAAATGTGTAAAATTAGGTATACGAAAAATATTTTTTTCTACGATCGTGCAAAAAGTAGCTACTTTTACACTATCTACTGTATTAAAAATCAAATTTTTTACACTAGTGCAAAAAGTAACTAAAAACAAAAACATCTTGAATTATTGATGACGACTTTAACTAAAGAGAAAAAATTTGTAATTTTTTGTAAAAATTTGTCAAATCCTGGAAGATACACTAAGTACCAGTACACCTCGCAGCAACATTCCGGAAAAAGGTTTTAAGTGAAGAACAAGAACCCGAGACATCCACGAGCAGAAATGAAAATAAAATTTAAAAGACTATAGGAAATGAAGTTTGTATCAATTACCTTAGTAAATTTTTCAATTACCTGAGTAAATAACTGCGACATTAAAATTAAAATGAACTCAAAAAAAATATTAAATAAAATAAAAGTGTCATTGTTAGTGGTAATATTAGTTTGTGAATTACTGTAAAAACTTTTTAATAAACATTTAAAAAAGAATTTACAATCGATCTAAAACGTTGTGTGCAACATGTGCAAAAAACATATCTGTTGCACTCAGCATAATTGCAGCTCTAGACTTCGTATCGAGCTGCAAAACTCATGCGTCGTGCAACAATTGTGTCCTTTTAGTACTAGTTCCATAAATAACTATTTTACTTTTTGTGATACAAAAACATTTAGAAAAAAATCTCAAAACTTGCCCTATAATAAATAAGTCTTCTTTTAATTTAATATATTGAATTTTTTGCTAAACTTCAAAACTTACTTTAATTTTCTGTCATAAATGGGAAAAATGGAATAACTTCTTGTAGGAGAATTTCAGTACCGAAAAAGAGCTTTAACAATAGTTTCAAAAAAATGCATGGGTACTTACGAGGTTCTTCTCCTTAAGCACATTAAAACAAAATCAATTATGTATGCCGGCAGCGTATGCAGGAAAAACACAGCGATATTGTGTTCCACGTAATTAGACCTCATCTTGAACATGTAATGCCAAACAATTTTCTCAGATGGTACTTCTCTGCTATGTTTTATGGTTAAAGACTGAACTTCATCTAAAACATACCATTAGCGAATTTTATATTATATTTTTCTTTAGTGATTAACCAATATTTAACTGGTTAAATAAAAAAAACTTAGAAAAATGTATTAGAGAACACAGAAGAATAGAAAACTGCTATAAAAAATATCTTAATATTCTTCTATATCTAATCTGTCAGTGTCAAATTATGCTAGTCATGGCCAGTCTGCATGAAAATCGGACCTAACACCATCCTTAACAATTCTTATCCACAATGACCTTCTGAATCCAAATATGACCCTCTTTTTCCCCCAACACCCTCCTTTTTGGTGCGCTCTATCTATTTTTACTGCTTTTCGATAGTTTTGTGGGATAAAAAGGTTTATTTTAGTCTCTACATTGTTATTTCTGAGTGGGTACTATAGAGATTTTAAGTGTTCTGAAAACATGAACTTTTTTATGGGGGGATGGGTTTGAAAGTAAGGGTGATTGGGTAATAAAAATTCTCAAATACATTAAACTTACTTACTCCAAGTTAGTGGATTTTCTGGAGAACTAACATAATTATAAACAGGTACATCCGAATGAAATTTACTTTCTCTGCTTTCCTTATTATGTAATTCATTATTATCGTTTAAAGTTCTAAAAATATAAATACATGATATAATTAACATAAAAGATATAAATTACAATAAACAGCAATTATTATATAGGTAGTCGGGTAGACAAATTATATAAAAAGATATAATAGAGCAACCTTCGTGTACAGTAGTTTCATTTTATTTTGTCCCGCTATTAACTGACCATAACGTTTTTGTTATTGGAGAATATTCATTGTAGGGTTTTTATAATTTTAGTCAGGTTTTATGGATTATTACCAAATATATAGAGTGGTTCGAACTGTATTCTAGAAACTTCGGCAGCATATTTTGCAGATAAAAATAAGTAAGAAAGTTCTTATAAATGTATGTTTTAAAATGATTAGTTTCGGAGATACAGAGTGTAGAAGTTTCATTTTTATTTCGATTTTTTCGAACGGTTGTTCGTAGCGATTTTTACTAAGAGACATTTTTTTACGTAAAAAGTCACTGAAATGTATATTTTTCACTCAGTAGTTTTATACAGGTACGGACGAAAAGTCATTAACCTTCAAAGCAGTTAAAATACATGTAGGCGGCACCTACAAATGGGAGTCATATTGACATCAAAATCAAATTTCTCATACAAAAAACTACCAGACACCAATTTTCATCCAAATATTGACGTTACTTCAAAAATTACTTGGAAACAATGGAAATAAAAATGAAACTTCTAGACCCTATATCTCCGAAACTAAGCATTTTAGGACATACACTTATACCAATGACTAAAGAATACAAGGACAGCATAACCGAGACCAAATTGTTACCATGGCATGTCACAAACAGTGTCGTGGCTATATGTTTTTCTTAACTTAGCTGCTTGAAGGGATCTTTATATCTTTGATAAATGTTTTGACTACGCCTATGGTGTAGATGGTGGTATCATACTAATTAATTACGAAAAAAACGAACTAAAATGTTAACAAAAGGTATAAAACTAGTATCGACGTGTAGCACATATCAAGTACATATAGTATCGGAAAAATAATTACCAAATTCAATAAGAAATCGCTAAAAAGGTGGATTGGACTGTTTATTTACATATAAAACGCAACTCCTGGCTCTTTCTTATCGTTGCGGCTTTTACACTTGAAAGCTGAATACGTCACCATTGTAATAAAGTTTATGGGAAATTAAAATAACTTTCGTTGCACATCATAATACGACCACCAGCAAACTCCATAAGACGACGCATGGTATCATTGATGACGTGCAACGAAAGTTGTTCCAATTTCACGATACAAAGTTCACTACACACAACAAATTATTAAAAATCGCTAAAATTGTCGCTGTTGACGAGGTGGTGACTCATCCGTAGGCTCCAAAATGATGGCGTCTAACGTAACAAATTCTGCTGCAGTCCGTATATGGGCGTTACATGTCCTTGTATTCTTTAGTCATTGAATTATACGAACTTTTTTACTTATTTTTATCTTAACAACGATCTTCATTTCCAAGCCTACTCTGACGCCGTTCTTTGTTTAATCATATAATATTATACTAAATTGTTGAATGATAGAAACTCCCTATTATTAACGTACTGTACCCAAAATCCGTAAATCTACGGATTAAACCATAGTTCTTGCAACACTGTTTCCAGAAACTACCCACTCTGTCGACTGAAAGCAGAACTACAGTACAGTATTCTTTATCCACTGCGCTGTAAACGACATCAGCGCGCAGTGGCGCAGAGCTAAACTAAATCTCGGACATGCAGGTTGAGTAGCGGCCTCGGTATCGCCAGACATATCGGACAAGTTTTGTGCCACGAAATCGCGACGAAGGTTGCGCATCTATATTTTCTAAGAAACGAGGAATCTTGCGACTTAATTCGCTACCTGGCCAAATATAAAGGAGAAATAAGTTTACCTATTGTCTAAATAATAAGTACTAATCTTAACTATTTCTTTATCGGAGGTCGAAGGCGTAATAGAAAAGTTATTATAAGCAAACATTTCAGAACGGATACTGCATGTTTGGTTTTGGCATCTGGCAAATGGTAAGTTTATCGCTAAGTATATTGTACCTTATGGTGGCGACATCCCACATTGCTGCTAAACAACCGTTAATAACGTAATCAGCGGGTACTAATTCTGCCTTATAATCTTTTTTACAGTGCAAACTTCTAAGTACTCCTATGGCAGCACACACTAGTGCACCAGTAGCACCATATATGTTGTCAATATAGCCCGAAACGGGTTCTCTCACTGTCGCAATAACTATTAAACAATACATTAGTTGGTTTTTATGCGTTATACTTTAAATATTATTGCATCCATTACCTACCTATGGAAGGCCTAAATAGCGCTATCGGCAGTGATTGCCCCTCTGTTTTTATGAGGTCCTCGGCAACGCATTTCGTAAAGACGTACGTGTTAGGAAAGTCTTTTATTATGCTGAAATTATTAAAATTCTTATTTAAGTTTAGGTATAGAAAATATGTATACAAAAAAACACAATAGAGATGTTTATATCACTGTTATTACAGTTAATTTAATTATTTTAAAAATAAAAAAAATGTTCTTGTACAAACACATGATATCTAATATATAGGGTGATTCACAGCGAAAATATGAATTTTTGGCACCTGTCTCCATCTATCTAAAATTCTTACAGCTTTACAATTTTGCCGCACAATTTGAGAAGTGGTAACATTTTGCTTATTTTAATGGAAAACCCGGTATATTATTACATTTCTGGAAACCTTCATACCTCATAATTTTTCTACAGTATGTCCCCGGATTGTCTTTACAAGAGGAAAAACTTTTCTAATATTGAGATTTTGAGAAAAATGAATTCTTCATAAAAATGTTTGCTTGTTAAATGGTGAATCCGGTTTTAACCAAGTTTTTCCAAATTTCCATGCCGTTTAAGAGTAAATTAAGATAAACACGAAAACGAGCATGAAAATATGGTTAAATTCTTTACTAAAAAATAAAACGCGTTTCTATGGTAATATCAATTCGACTTCATTCTTTGATAGATGGTTATTATTAATTTGCATTAATATCATATTCTTTGCTGCTGTTAAAGTATCGTATTTTCCGATAACTATCATCACTCTTTCCGTAGCATTGAACTAAATAAATGTTGTGCTTCTACATTTAAAAGAACAAAAAACATTATATTTTTTAAAATTCTATGAATAACAATCTATCAAAGAAAAAAAACGAAGTTATAGTACCATAGAAACGCGTTTTGATTTTTAAGACTTCAATTCAACATGAATTCAACATTCAATTCATGTTTTTCTTAATTTTTTTTTAAACCGTATGGAAATTTGGAAACGTATAAACGGGATTCACCATTTAACAAGCAAACATTTTTATGAAGAATTCATTTTTCTTCATTCTTCATTCAATTTCCATACGGTTTAAAAAAAAATTAAGAAAAACATGAAGATATGGTTGAATTCATGTTGAATTGAAGTCTTAAAAATCAAAACGCGTTTCTATGGTACTATAACTTCGTTTTTTTTCTTTGATAGATTGTTATTCATAGAATTTTAAAAAATATAATGTTTTTTGTTCTTTTAAATGTAGAAGCACAACATTTATTTAGTTCAATGCTACGGAAAGAGTGATGATAGTTATCGGAAAATACGATACTTTAACAGCAGCAAAGAATATGACATTAATGCAAATTAATAATAACCATCTATCAAAGAATGAAGTCGAATTGATATTACCATAGAAACGCGTTTTAATTTTTAGTAAAGAATTTAACCATATTTTCATGCTCGTTTTCTTGTTTATCTTAATTTACTCTTAAACGGCATGGAAATTTGGAAAAACTTGGTTTAAACCGGATTAACCATTTTAGAACAAGCAAAAATTTTTATGAAGAATGCATTTTTCTCAAAATGTCAATAATAAAAAAGTGTTTCCTCTTGTAAAGACAATCCGGCGACATACTGTCTAATAAAAATACAAACCTATTCCTATATGTAATAGTTTTTGAGATAAAAATAAAACATGTGTAAAATTGACAAAAGCGTAATCCTGAATAAAGCTGTACGCACACTGGTGCGATCACGGCCGCGATCACGATCTCCACGCGGCCGCGGCCAAAAGTTGCTGAAGAATACATATGAGCCGTTTCACATTGGCGCGATAGAGTTTTGGAGACCAAGCGGCCTGGCGGCGTTCTATTCTGCGGTAGCGATCAGATTCAACTTGTCGAGTTTGATCGCGTGATCGCGACCCAACTGATAGGAATTTTCCGTTATTTTGTGTGTTTTTTCTTGTTGCAATTTAGTAATGGAGTTAACAGAGCAGCTAATTAAAGCTTTAAAAATACACAAAATTTTATATGATATATCCGATCCAAGTTACAAAAATAATAGAATTAAAAATAAAAAGTTTGAGACAAAATTGGAGTTGCAATTGGATTGGACAGTACATATGTATACATTTTTATTGTTTAAGTTTAAATATTGTAGGTAAATATTTAAGAATGTTTTTTTCGGTATATATAATTCACATTTTTAATTTGTACCTAAGTATACCTACAGGATGGCGCACTACATATAGGTACGGCGGTGAACGTGAACGCGTTGGTGTGTGCCTGCCCTGATCGTGGTCGTGATCGCGGCCTTGATCGCACCAGTGTACGTGTAGCTTAAAGCATCATTAAAATCATGAATTGAACATTTTTAAAGTTGGAATTTGGATTGTAAGTTAACGAAAGTCGATATATTCGATCTGTCTAAATAAACCAATTAGATATTACACAGGGAGAGCAAAAATATTATTTATTTCCGTTTGTTATAAAGTTGCTCAAATCTTTGATATTAAATTGGCTCGAGAATTGGCATTAATAATTATTTTTTCTTACGTTTTTGTAATGTCATTTAATTGATCTTCGTCTAAGCATTCAACCAATGTTAACAGCTTTTCTCCTGTTATGGGAGCTTCATATAATACTTCATCTATTTCTTTTCTGTTACAATTGGAGAAGGCGGTCGAAACATTAAGGAAGGCCTATAATCAAAGAATAAGATATGGTTTAAAAAACAAATATAGAGTATTTTATACACATAATCGTATTGCTAACAGAAATTCAGGGGATTACTAGCGTAGAAATAAATACTATTACATCTCTAATTTACCTACTGTGTTAAACGTCACAAAGATGTTTGAGAACGTAGGTCAACTTAACATTAAATTATTATTTAGGATTCTTAATTTCAAGGTAATAACGGATCTAATATAGCAAAACAACTAAAATCAATTAAAATGTGATGTCCTTATTAAAAAACTGCAATTTACAAACATCAACTAAGACAACTTTATGTCGTCATATATTGTTTTTATTGTATATTTCTTTACTCTATACTATTTTTATCCGAATGGTTATATGCAATTTGTTGTAATAAAAACTCAACTTAATTTCTGAATAAACATACATGTATTTAAAAAATAAACATCAACATATATTTGATGGCAATTAAACTTTTAGTTACGTAATCGAGGGCACGATTTTTAAAGTAATTATTGCCAACCACGGAATATTCGGCGCCGGGCTGACTAACTGGAATTTAAATTTCCCGCTGGGGATTCAGATGGTAGCTCTGTTGTAAAAAATGTCAAGTTGTCACATTTATTTATTTATTTCCTGACATTGTCATTAGTTTTGACACTTTGGTTTTATATTACGAGTTTTTTTAAATGAATTAGGTTGTGATACTTTAAGCTTAAAAATGTTTAATAGCAGAGCTTGCAGCCGAACATTCTTCTTTTTAGGACGTCTTTTAGTGCAAAGTGTAATGATAGCTTAATAGCCGTAAACAACTCATCGCAGCTTTATTAGAATATTTTGAACGGGTAAGCGGTAGTAATTGCCCTTTATGTCCATTAAATGCTGTTAAAAAGGTGAGTTTTGTTGATGTAAATAATAACTGTTTATATACTTATAATTAATTTATTTTTGTTTCGTAAAATATTTTCATTAAAGAAAATATGTAAAAATGGGTAATGCTGTGCCGGTCAAGCGTAATCACGTGACTAAAAGTTTATTTGATATGAGCTATACCTAATAGAATATGTACCAAAATTCAATTCTCTGTTTTTTTTCTCAGGTAAGATTTCGACAGACGATGACAGAAGAAAAGCAGATGACGTCCCATACCAATCTATTTATGTTACTAAAAAAGTTTCTAATATTTTTTTAAGTTAACTATGTATGGGTTTAAATATAAATCCGTCATACGTCGTCTCTTGTTGTTTTTAACCAGTTTTATTGGTTTATTTCGAAAATGACAGATCATATTTCAATTTTATTGGTTTGACGGAACGATGAACGACAAACGGACGCCGATGCGTATGAACTCGCCTTTAGATTTTTGAGGCTTGTCAAAGTCTTGCCAAATTATAGGTTATAATTTTGTGTCAACTTGTTTTTCTTGTCAAAATGATGCATTTTGATTCGTGTTATTACGTGTGTTTTGTGTCTTTTGAAGTCAAGTGGAGGAAAAACCAAGGGAAAATTAACTGTAGACCTGACCCAGAGCACAGTTTATAGTTAGTACTCGCTGCTCAGGCAGAAAGTCTTATACACCAATAAATTTACCATTAATAAAGTTTGTAGACCATCTCGTCGTAGATAAGTGCATCTCGTATAATATGGTACAAGGATCGTACTAAACATATACTAAAAACTGGAGTAGCTGTGAAATATCGACATCACACGATAGGTAAATCATGGATTTTAGTACTGAAGAAAAATAATGTCAAAAAGTACTGATTTAAAAAAATTAATATTAAGTTAATTAATCAACCTTTAAGGTATAAAATTGGTGTTATCTATACTAATATACAGGGTTGTTCACCGCATACGACACGGAGTATTGTAGCTAAACGATTAGATTTTTACAAATTGTAAGTTTTGGGTTCGTTGAAGGACTATTAGAGCTACAATTTAAAAATATTTTTACCAGATACAGAGTGTCCCAAATAAATAAAAAATATCAAAGTTGTATTTTTTTAAATGGAACACCCTGTATATTATTACATTTTTAGTTTCTACGATTAAAATAAAGGTAAATTTGATTAAGGTTTATTACACTTAAACCTTACCGTTTTTGAAATATTTTCAATTTTGTGAAATTGCAACAAAAATTTTAAGGCTTCATTTCTTCAAGGGTATCAAAGTTTTTAATACTAAATATTTACTGAAGTTTATTTATTGATCAGTTATTACGTTGCAATAATAAAAATAATACTACCTCATACAGAGTGTCTAAAAATTTATTTTAAATAATTTCCAGCTTTAAATGGCAATAACTTGTTTAATTTAAATAGAACGCCCTGTATATTTTAGGAGAATCAGATGCACAATTTAATTGTCTATCAAATTGTATTATACCATTTCTTACATATCCCTTCAAGTTTTCGTAGAAAATGCATTTTCTTATAATTTAGACCTCATTTATCAATATGCCCATGGAATATTGACATTTTAGATTGTTTTTAAAGCAACATATGTACAAAACGTACAGGCTAGTAATATTATCGTTTTTAGCAAAACGATAATATTACCAGCCCATTTGTATGCAGGAAGAAAACTATTTAAATCTTTATAAAAGAGTATACAATTAATTAAATATACCACCATTATTTCCGCCCAAATACTGATTAATTACATACTTAATTGTGTTCGTTAATAAATTATTCTGAATAAATGTGAATTTGAATCAGAAATCAATATAATAATAAATTATGAAAATGAACGTCTTTGTTGTTATGAATAAGCATTTGTGAAAAAATTAAATATCATTTTTAAGGTGTTACTTTTTACCATAGTATCTAATACACATACAAAATTCAGTATTTTAGTATTTGGAGCAATTATTATTAGTCAACGCAAACAGTCAATTAATGTAGTTTGAATACTGGAATCATATTAATTGGTCCTCTTTAACAAATATTTAAACAGTTTTTTTTTTATTTTTTAATGAAATAAACGAATTATATCGATAATATTAGTATCTGTACTCTTTAAAAATTTGATACATCTTTAAAAATAAGCTAAAATGTCAGTATTCCATGGGTATATTGATAAATGAGTTCTAAATTACAACAAAATGCATTTTCTATGGAAACTTGAGGAGATAGGTAAAAATGGTGTAATACAATTTGATAGACAATTAAATTATGCATGTGATTCTCATGAAATATACAGGGTGTTCCATTTAAATTAAACAAGTTATTGCCGTTTAAAGCTAGTAATTATTTAAAATAAATTTTTAGACACTCTGTATAAGGTCGTATAATTTTTATTATTGCATGACAAAATTCAGTAAATATAAATACTTGAGTACAATATTTGGTTTTAAAAACTTAAATACGCTTAGAGAAATGAAGCATTAAAATTATTACTGTATTTTGACAAAAACCAAAATATTTCAAAAACGGTAAGGTTTAAGTGTGATAAACCTTAATCAAAATTACCTTTATTTTAATCGTAGAAACTAAAAATGTAATAATATACAGGGTGTTCCATTTAAAAAAATACAACTTTGATATTTTTTATTTATTTGGGACACTCTGTATCTTGTAAAAATATTTTTCAATTGTAGCTCTAATAGTCCTTCAACGAACCCAAAACTTACAATTTGTAAAAATCTAATCGTTTAGCTACAATACTCCGTGTCGTATGTGGTGAACAACCGTGTATAAGACTCACTGATTAATCACGCGATCCTACTCAAACCACTCAATGTAAGAAGCTCAATTTTGGCACACAGGTTGATTCTAGGGTGTAGAGGTTCAATAAGAAGGGATTTTTCGAAATTCAAGTTCCAAGGGGGTGAAACCTCCCCTTAAATATTACAATATTTTTTATTAAAAAAACGGCCAAGTTTCCGAAAAAAACGCTTAAACACGTATATTTTATTTTGTTTTTTTACATATTTTAAGATTTTTTAAAAATGTATACAGGGTGTTTCGAAAAATCTGGTCATTTATTAATCACGATCCTGCTTAAAGCGCTTGACGTAAAAAGCTGATTTTTGGAAAACGGATTGACTTTAGAGTGTAGATGTTCGATAAGAAGGGATTTTTCGAAACTCGAATTTTAAGGGGGTGAAAACCACCCCTCAAATATTAGAATATTCTTTATTTAAAAACCGGTGAGTTTTTCGGAAAAACTCTTAAACATGTATATTTTATTTTGTTGTTTTACATATTTTAAGATTTTTAAAAATTAATACAGGGCGTTTCATAAAATATGACCATTGAGTAATCACGATTCTGCTTGACGTTTAAAGCTGATTTTTGGCAATCGGATTGATTGTGGGGTGTAGGGGTTCGATAAGGAGGGGTTTCGCGATTATGTTTTCTCATGCTGACATAAATGTGAGAAAATGTTATCCACTTTGTATGTTAATGGAAATTCTTGCTTTACTTTATCATCACCATCACAAATGATTGATTCGAGGCGAACGAAGTCGCAGGTACACGCTAGTTATTAATAAAATAATTTGTTTTATTTATCTTGTTTTATTTATTCCCGTGGAATATTATAAATTTGTATTTGTACATAAGTTATATTGTTAAATATAATATGCGAGAAGTTTCTTGAAGCTTGAAAGTAAGAAATAGTTCTTTTTTATATATTTTGGTATGTGGTGTTTTGTTCTTGTTTGTTTTGTATTAACACATATATATATATAGTTTTTTTTTCATTCACAATATTTTGAAGTAATCACTTGTCAGTCAAATTCACAAAACATCCCCCTTTAGAACTTTTTCTTTAATGGCCATAAGCGGGAGTAAAAGACCAACCGCCCGAAGAAACACTAGAGGCGCCACCGGTCATCAAATGGTGTAAAAATTGCGAAAATTTAATCATCTAATTTTGACACAAGAGGTCGCGCTTAACTTTTTAATTTTTATTTTAATTTTAATTCAATAATCATTGTTTTCAAACTATATTATTATACTTTGTTGTATTTTGTGAATGTATAAATGTTTCCTTTGTATAAAGTTGCATTATATTAATTTAAATTATATGTACATATTTAAAATTTAAATATTATGACATATATGTCAGTTGCCGTCTAAAATGACATCTTGATAACAAAAAGTTAGTTAATGACAGAAATAGTTAAAATTATGTTAAAATATTAAAATTTACAAGTTATAATTAGATATTTTATATTATTTCAAAAACAAAAACATAATGGTACAGCGTTATGTTGATATGCAGGTCCAAAACAAAAACCGTTATATTTTTCAGTTTTCGTTGTCAGCCGCGGAAGTTTCAGTGATTTTAGTGTTGTCGGATATTTTTATTTGTGAAATAGAAATAATTGCGTTTGGATTGCAAAACGAAAAGTGGAAGTTTTACTGCAATGTAAGTAAGCGTTTGTCCATTTTATATTTTACTTTTTTCATACCTACGACAAATATACATATATTCAAATTTTATAATTCGTTTTATTTAAAAAATGTTAGAAAACAAGCTTGTAATCCTGTAATTGACATAATTGTTATGTAATATATTCCATTTAAATGTAATATATTACTTTACAACTAAAAAACTGTAAATTTAAAAAATATATACAGGCAATAATTGAAATTTTTAGCGTGCGAACAAACATGAGAGGCCCTTTATTATTTACTTTCATTTCTTAACATGACAGACGAAGTTCTAAAGGGGGATGTTTTGTGGTCAAATTTTTTAAATATATTAATTTCCTGCTATGCTGTGCGTTTCAATTGTACCAACTTATTTCTTTGTAAAATAAAATGAACTACTTTGAAATTAAAATGACAGACACATCTATCACTGTCAAGGGTCTTGTCGTTGGACAGACATAATGTCCTCGTTATGGTTAAAGTTCAAAATGAGATAATCAGTTAATAAGTTTGGGTTTGGTTGGTTTTAGTTACGTAAAAAAATATAAATCGGAATAATTAAATTATTAGTAAAACATACCTTTAACTTTTTCATTTGTTTAGCCATTTCAATAAGATCCCGTACTGCTCTGACGTTAATATAGGTAGCGGATTTTAATGTCTCATCAAATTTAACGGTCGCGGCAAAATGCATAATGCAATCTACTTCTGCGATCAGCATTGCCTCATCTGCTAGATCTAAACCCAAGCCAGGCAAACTGATATCTCCATTTATTACGTGAATTTTCTCTTTATAGTCGGGGCTTGTACGGTTTAATCGTTCAAAAATCTAAAAGGGAAACTGAAATTTGAATAAAATCTTCTTTATTGCTATTGCCAAGCTTTAGTATTAACTTTAAAATGGATATTTTATGTATGGTATGTTGCAAATACTATGGAAATGTCTACTCGTCAAACATTTTTTGTTTGACGATGCATTTTGAAAAATAAATATATCTAAAAAATATCTATACCTATGTGGCGGATTCATCTCTCCAAAAGAAATCCTATAATATGGGTTTTTCGCCACTGCAAGAAAATCTACAAAATAAAATAGTTATTTTATGTTAATTATAAACGGAAACTACTTGTCAGAAGTTAGGTTTAAAGATATACAAATTTGCCTAACGAACAAAAAAATGCTTAACGTTTCGGAAAGTGTATTTCTTTCCATCTGTCGTCGGAAGCAAAAAATACAAAGAGTAAAGAAAAAAAACTATTTAAAATATTTAAATTCAACTATTCGAGAACACTTCAGTTTTTTAAAACAGATAAGTCTACAAAAACCGATGTACATTAGTGAAACATCTAGACCCTTAAATGTTCGAATTAAAGAATATGAAGATTATTTAAGAAAGGAAGATTTTCACAAATCTAAGATTTGTCAGCATTTATGGGATACAGGGCACAGAATAAATTTTAATAACGCCAAAATTATAATGAAAGAAGCGATACCCTCTAAAAGAAAAATAAAAGAGGCTTTTTTAATACAATCTAATAAAAATAAATGTATTGCTCATGCATCTCTAGATGTTAGTAATGTATGGCAATCGCTTTTATGATTTTAAAAAACATAACATAACAAATTAAAAATAATCATACAGAAAGTTTGGGCTTTTTGGTTTTACCTGATAAGTAATTGTTATCAGGTAGTAATTGTTAATTTTGAAGTTTAACTTGATATAATTAATAGAACATTATTTTCTTTTATCTATGGATATAATGTAATTTTAACAGAACGTCAACGGTTTTTGTAGACGTATCTGTTTTAAAAAACTAAAGTGTTCTCGAGTACTTGAAATTAAATATTTTACATAGTTTTTTTTCTTTATTCTTTGTAGTTTTTTGCTTCCGACGAAGGAAAGAGATAAACTTTCCGAAACATTTTTTTTAAAAGCATTTTTTTGTTCGTTAGGCAAATTTGTATATCTTTAAACCTAACTAGTAGTTAGGTTTAAAGTATTTTTGTATATCTTTAAACCTAACAAGTAGTTTCCGTTTGGGATTAACGCAGAAGTGTTTACATAAAATAACTATTTTATTTTGTAGATTTTCTTGCAGTGGCGAAAAACCCATATAGGATTTTTTTGTAAATATATCTAGTACTAAAAACTTACTGGTAGAGGTGTTGGACAACGAACTATTCGTTATTGGAGTACCTATCGATACCCGAAGAAACGAGTAACGAATTTAAAACCATACGATTACTTTGATTACTATAACTACTTATATTATTTATCCTATCGTACTAGGTATACCTAATATGTACCTAATTGTATGTAAAAATACCTAATTGTATCGTAAATGTAATCAAATGCGAATTCTATGAAAACATAAAAGGGGGCGAAGGGGTGAAATCTGGGATGTCAGGTTGAATAAAAAAATTGTTAAAATCTGTTGTAGGAGTATGACATTTTGAGTATGAGGTTTCTTGGGTGACGTAATTGAGCACTAGGTTCGATTTTTGGAAATTCGCTTTCTAAAAGGATGAAATGAGGGGTGGATTTTATATACAAAATAAAATCACAGCAGTATAAAATTTTGCACAGAGGTCTCTTGTGTATACTTTCTTAAAATGATGTGATTAAAAAGTTAGAAGCTATTTTCGAAAATCTATCTCTTGAGGGGATGAAAATGGAAATGAAATTTTGTATAATTTTCTTTAAAATTGGTTCTAGGTTGAAATGTTGTACAGAGATTCCTTAAGTGACGAAAGTGAGTACTGAGAAGCAACCTCTCATTTAATCCTTGACGAATTTTGACTTTGAATGTTGTATACATACAATAATTAAAATTTCTCTTAGCAGTATCAAATTTTGCACAGAGGCCTGATTGAACAGAAGCGATTTTCGGAAATTCATCTTCTAAGGCGAAAGTGAGTATCTACTTAGAAGCGATTTTTTTGGAAATTCACGAGGAAATTCACCTCCTAAAAGGTTGAAATTAGGAGTGAAAGTTGTCTCAAAAATTTGTTAACATCGGTTTTAGAAGTATGAAACCTTGTTTAGAAGTTCCTTAGGTAACGTAATTGAGCATTAGGGTCGATTTTTAGAAATTCGCCTTTTAGGGGTGTGAGATACGGGGTGAATGTTCAGAAAAAATATTTTTAGAGGTATGAAAATCTGCACAGAATATTGTCGCCTTAAGTGATGAAAGTAAGTACTTAGAAACGATTTTTTTGAAATACAACCCCTAGGATGGTGAAATTAGGGGTGAAATTTTGTACAAGCAAACTTTTGAATATTTGTACAAAAAATTGTACCGGTTCTAGAAGTATTAAATTTACACACAGAGGTCCATTAAATGAAAAACGTGAGTATGAGTCTATTTTTGAAAATATATTCCTTAAGCAGATGAAATTAGACACAAAGAGCAGTTGACAAAATTGACAGCAGTACCAAAATCAGTACAAAGTAATCATAGTAATCAAAGTAACGAATATTTGAAATGATTACTTAGTAGTCCCGTAACGATTAGTAACGAGTAATCAAAAGTAACGAAAATCAACATCACTACTTACTGGTTCATTTAGAAGTTCTTCTAGCCTATCTTCAGGACTTTTGTCCTTTTTGTTTCTAATTAAAACAAATATTTTATTTACATCATTACAAGTCCATAGTAACTTTTCCATTGCCAGTTTTCCCAAAAAACCAGTCACTCCTGTGATGAAAACTGATGAATGGGCAAAGAAAGCCTTTATATCGCTGTCTTCTTCCGGTACAATCATGTCTGAAGCAGTAATATCTTGTCCCTCTCTTTCCTCTACTTCCATTTTGAAATTTTTATATTATATTATATCTAGAACAAAAAATAAGGAAACTAATGTATTATTAAATTTATCTCAAATACAGCAAATAAAAATTGCTGTATGGTACTACCCACGTATTAAAACTTTGGTAAATTATTTATAAAATTTAAGTTTTAGTAAGAGATAATTAGATTAGACAGGAAATCACATGCAAATTATGAATTGTCCAGATATTGGCTTTGCTGTTAATTTTACAGCGAAGTTATAAATAGCTTTTTTAAAGGTCTGCGCTTCGGAATACACATGCTAAATTTTATTTGAACAATTTTGGACAAACCCCTCGCAGGTCAAAGCTGCAAGCTGGCAGAAAACTTAAGTCTTTTTTTGATTTAAATCATTTTAATGACTTAAGTCATTTGATTTCAATTCATTTTTCGAAAGCTGATTTAAGGTTTAAAATTTAAGTCTTTTTGAAAATGATTTGTGATTTAAATCTTTATTCCGAAATAGAAAGAGATTTAAATCTTTTTATAAAAGGCTTAAGTCAAATTTTTGTATATTTTTATAATAAACTAGCGTGTACCAGCGACTTCGTTCGCGTCGAATTAATCATTTGTAATGGTGATGATAAAGCAAAGCAAGAATTTCCATTAATATACAAACTGGATAAAATTTTCTCACATTTATGTCAGCATGAGAAATAACAATATGACGATATTATTGTATAACTTGGTAATATTTGAGGGGTAGTTTCATCTCGTTGGAATTTGACTTTCGAAAAATCCGTTTGCCAAAAATAAGCTTTTTATGTCAAGCAGTTTAAGCAGAATCGTGGTTAAGAAATTACCCAACTTTTTTGGAAGACCCTGTATGATTTTTTAAAAAAATTTCAAAATATGTAAAAAAACAAATAAATTATGCTTGTCCAAGCGTTTTCCCGAAAGACTAACCGTTTTTTAAATAACAAATATTGTAATATTTGAGGGGAGTTTTCACCCTCTTGGAATATGAGATTCGAGAAACCTCTCCGTTAATCCGTTTGCCAAAAATCAGCTTTAAACGTCAAGCAGAATCGTGATTACTCAGTGGTCATATTTTACGAAACACCCTGTATAAATTTATAAAAAATCTTAAAATATGTAAAACAACAAAATAAAGTATACGTGTTTAACAGTTTTTCCGAAAAACTCACCGGTTTTTAAATAAAAAATATTTTAATATTTGAGGGATTAGTTTCACCCCCTTAGAATTCGAGTTTCGAAAATTCCCTTCTTATCGAACCTCTACACCCTAAACTCAATCTGTTTTCCAAAAATCAGCTTTTTACGTCAAGTGCTTTAAGCAGGATCGTGATGAATCAATGACCAGATTTTTCGAAACACCCTGTATACATTTTTAAAAAATCTTAAAATATGTAAAAAAGCAAAATAAAATATATGTGTTTAAGCGTTTTTTCGGAAACTTGACCGTTTTTTAAATAAAAAATATTGTAATATTTGAGGGGTGGTTTCACCCTCTTGGAACTGGAATTTCGAAAAATCCCTTCTTATCGAACCTCTACACCCTAGAATCAACCTGTAAATTTACAATTTTTAAAAATTCGAAATTTTTACCAAGTACCACGAATCTGTATTGAAATTAGAAAAAACAATTTGATCGGTTTTTTATTTTTTTTTTTGTTTTAAGGAAAATACGACGTTTTTTCGAAAAATATGTATTTTTAGTCATACGTATGGCCCTAAATGGTACAAAAAGCATTGTACATTCTGCATATGCCAAACAATTATTGATATAGAGTGTATCTAAAAGCAGATAACTAACACAAGTTAAAAAAAAACTTCAATCAGAACAATATTTTTATTTATAAAATAAGTAGATAAATTATAATAAAATTTAAGTTTATTTAATATTAAATATATTTTTTGAACACCCTGTATACCTCGGTGTCCAAATTTCTGTACAGCTAGTTTAATATACACGCTATATCAATATATTGTGGGCCTATGCAAAATGTACAATGCCTTTTGTACCATCTAGGACCCAATGTATGACTATTGTTTACAATCCCGCAATTTTGCGGATCCGCGGGATTGATTGCTTTAATCCCGCGGGGTTGCGGGATTGACATTTTGGTGCGGGATTGCATTCCCTAGTAGCGACCGATGAATCACTCCCAAACATTCGTGGCGTTTACTATAGCTAGACAGTTGAAATTTTAAATTTTTACAGATAATGTATCTATGTTGCCGCTATAAGAACAAATACTAAAAACAAAATTAAATAAATGTTTATAAATAAAAAAGTACTTTCACTAAACATTATCTTTTAAGTAAGAATTTTACATAGAATATCTTCAAATCCTCGGTGGCCGCGTGGTTAAAGCGTTAGGACTTTACGCTGCTATGACGTTGGAGCCGTAGTAAGGCAGGTTCGAATCTTAATGAAGGCGACTTTTTTTTAATGTTTTTTTTTTAATTTTTACATATTTTTACATATTTATTTTTACTTTTTACATATTTATTATTGATTAATACAATTTTTAGGAATGTGTTTCTTCATTTTCAACTTTTATTTACAATGTTTACATTTTGACGACACCTATACTGTATATCTGTAAGTTTATTTAATATTAAATATATTTTTTGAACACCCTGTATACCTTGGTGTCCAAATTTCTGTACAGCTAGTTTAAGATACACAGTATATCAATATATTGTGGGCCTATGCAAAATGTACAATGCCTTTTGAACCATTTAGGACCCAATGTATGACTATTGTTTACAATCACGCAATTTTGCGGATTCGCGGGATTGATTGCTTTAATCCCGCGGGGTTGCGGGATTGACATTTTGGTGCGGGATTGCATTCCCTAGTAATTATATTTATTTAAGTCATTTTACTGACTTAACTTGCAGATCATCATCATTTAAGTCGGAAATGTAGACTTAAAACATTATATTGATTTAAGTCTTTACAAAAAGACTTAAAATAAAATTATTTAAGTCAAAGACTTAAGATTTAAATCATTTGAACTTTATGTTGAATTTGACTTAAGACTAAAATCATTTTGATTCTAGGAATGCTTAAGACTTTAGACTTAATTTAAAAACTGACTTAGTTGCAACTCTTGTCGCAGGTTACTTTTAAATTGTTCAGTAACGTGTAAGGTTTAAAAAAAAGCGTCTGGACCAGGAGTTCAACATCTCGGTCACAAGTGCTATGAGTAGACTATATGGAAAGATACTGCGAAATATAATTGAAAGGGAGTATGCACCGTATGAGGTGGAAGAACAGGCAGGGTTTCGTAAGGGACGATCGTGTATGGACCATATGTTCACTCTGGTTCATATAAATGAAAAAAAAGTGGCAACCAATAGAGAGGTACATCTGCTCTTTGTCGACCTCACAAAAGCGTATGACACCGTTCCGATCCGAAAGCTCTGGAAAGTCCTCGAAAAATCCTCTATAATCAACACAGCGATAGAAGCAGTTAAACAGCTATATAATGAGGCAACATCAAGAACTTGGTACGGCAACAATGAATTTAAATGTAAATAAAGATCAGCTGATTTCTATATACCGATGCAAATATAGGAATGCGAACCGTCCTGGACACGTTGTAGTGGCATTTCAAACAAACGAAATTAAAATGAAGGTGTACAACAATAAACGAAATCTTCGAAGTAAAGGTGACTTTGCAAGTGAAGACCTAACTGTTGAGCGACTAAAACTGGTCAGGGAAGCGTCAGATTTATATGGCTTTAAGAATGTATGGACTGTTAATGAATTACTATATATATATATATATATACTGAAAGATATTGTACTAAGGGAGGGGGCTGATATATCCGATAATATTTGTAAATTTTCAAATCGCCTTAAATTTTTTCTTCGTTTTTGACAATTATAATATTAGTTAATTATTTATAATGCCAAAACAATAAACCATTATTATTATTGTGTCTCGAAACCCCTCTGCAGTTTTGAACTCCAAAGACAATATTTTTTAGATATCTGAAAATACATTTTTTATTATTTGTTCTTTAATATTAGTATATATAGGTACTGAATGGTATGTTTATATTTCTTTTTGTCATTTCTATATTTTTTTTGTTGAATTGTAATGTTATATTATCTGTATATCTCATGTAATTACACGATTTGTGTGTTTGGGATAAATAAATAAATAAATAAATCTGTAGGTTTTCCTGTAACTAAGGGCCTACGACAAGGGTGCTGCCTATCCCCGATGTTATTTAAGATCTATCTGAATGAAGCCCTAGAAAAATGGAGAAGATCGTGCAGAGGAATGAGAATACAACTTTTAAACGAGTATAAAAAGTAAAAAAACGAATATGAAAAATACCTATCTTGGAACTCAGATAGATTATAACCGGGCGTACAGAGAGCGAGATCGAGGAAAGAATATTGAAAGGTAAAAAAGTCATCGGATGCTTAAATTCAGTATTATGGTCCAAACACATCTCATATGAGAAAAAACATACTATTTATAATTCAATCTTTATAACTATAGTTTTATATGGATGTGAAACATGGCAGCTCACTAATAGAATGGAACAAAGACTATTAGCACTCGAGATGGACTTCTGGCGAAGATCGGGTGCGGGAGTATCAAGAATGGAAAGAATACAGAATAAAAAGATAAGGGAAAGTATGCATATCCAGCACACCATAATAGATGAAATAGAGAGAAGACAGCTGGTATGGTATGGGCATGTAGAAATAATGAGTGAGGACCGAATACCGAAGAAAGTCTTGAAATGGATACCTTCAGAAAGGAGAAAAAGGGGAAGGCCAAAGGCAATGCGGATCGGAGGAATACATAAAGCTATATCGGAGAAACCAAACCTTCATCCAGGGGATTGGGAGAATAGGAAAGGCTGGCAACTGGGTACTGGAAGGCGTAGGACGCTATGAACCCGGTTTATACCCGTGTAGGGCAAAAAGACAGATGTTGATATGCCTATTTTGGCATTTTTTTGGTCTACCCTAAATCATTTCCTATACCTTATCCAATATTTACCTACTCCCTATTCCACACAATATGTCTTGCAGGCTAGTCTATTAGGGCTACACGCTTTGTGATATAGATAAATCCTTTCTACAAAATGTTTATTAGCAATCATAATCAGATATTAATTATTTTTGTCAGAAGCTTATAACCAGTTTTGAATTTACTATACAACCTTACGGTACTTTATAACACCTGTCCCATTTATTAAATCGCTACCATATTTCAAATATTATATATCTAATATTGCCTAACCGAGAAACACCTTCTAAATAATCGGCGGTATAAATAATTGCATTCTGTTGTCTTAATGAATTCATTATTTCACGTGGAAGGTAAAAGTCAAGTTTGAAAGGAAATAATGAATGAGAGAAAAAACGTAAAGGCGGCTATATGGTCGTACTTGATTATTTTATGAACCATAAAATATATATTCAAGCGCATATTAATAAAACAGTAGCATATATTACATTTTTGCAAACAATAAGTCTAATTTTTCATTGTTTCTTTCATTTAAAAAATTTTTGTGTTTTATTAATAAAAAATCGTACTATTTTATCCTCACACAAGGCTATTATCAATCACATTGTTGCTAAGTGTCTTAAAGCGGAAATTGACTTGAGCGAGACATTGTAATGTAACGCTTTGAAACACGATTCTAGTAGATGCAATGGCGTTAATTGTGTGACTAAACGTGCTTCTGCTAATTGGTGATCTAAAAAAAATATAATAAATATCCGAAAAGTACGAATAGACGTATAACACTTCCAATTTTTAGATTCAACGTTTTTTAAAGGCAAAGATTTTTCTCAAGAAACTCCGAATGATACTTTCGTCGAGAGCAACGAACAATCGTTATGGTGCGTTTAGACTTGAGCACGCACGAGCTTTGCGTGCGCGTGCGGCATTCGTTCGCGCTCTCGGCTAACCTAATCTAACCTAACCTCTTACAACCTAACCTAACCTAATCGTACAAATTAACTTTACTTAACTTAACTTATTTTTCGCCGATTGAAGTGATCCATTTGTGCGCGCACAGCAGAGTTGTGTTGGCGAAAATAATGGACGACCAAGAAATAGTCGAGGCTGCAGTCATTGTTATGCACAGCTTAATTATTAAAAAGAAAAAAAATCGAAAATATCGTCGCTGGTGGCAAACCCAAATTTTTAGAAATCAATATAATTTACTGCAACAACTTAGTGTCTAAGGAGGGCTATGATCAGTTCAAAAACTTTACAAGAATGCCCAGGCCCGACTTTGAATATTTTACAAAATTTAATAACACTAAAAATTACGAACAAAAGATACAAATTTTAGAATAGCAATTTCACTAATATCGACATATTCAATATTAATTTTATTTACAAGGTCTTGCCATGCGTTATTTTTTTTATATTTTAATAATACAGAGAATGTTTAACATCTCATAATATAGGCAACTTTTCATATTCTTCAATTAATAATATCGAAGATTCATTGATCCACTCCATAATTTTAATAAAGAAAACGAAAAGAAAATCACACACGCACTCACAAACGCAGACAAAATAAATTGCCGGTGCAAACTGAGCGTTCGCGCACACATAAAATCCCTTTAACCACGGACCAAAAACCGACACCAGACGGCTCACGTTCGCGGCTGCTCGCGCACAGACAGATTCAGAGTGAGCGTGCGCGCACAGCAGTTTACACTTGAGCATTCGCGAAAGATCAGTGCGTGCGTGCTCAAGTCTAAACGCACCATTACATTACAGGGTTTGGTTCAAGTCAATCTCCGCCTTTACACGAAGATCTTAAAGTGAAGTACTGATTTAACTAATCAGGGTACCTCTCTTTGAAAGATTGGGAGCATTTTACATGTACGATACTGATATACAGGGTGTTTCAAAAAACATGTGCCATCTCTCGTGGGGAGATTCCTCGCGTAAAAATAAGGTTTATTTTTCATATCAACATAGGTCCGATTCTGCTTTGTTTCGTAGCTACAGGGCGTTAAAGTCTTAATAATCTTTCGGTTTTTTATAATTTTCTTACAAGTACTTTTGTGATCCGAATGAAATTTTGAGGGTAAATTAATAAAAGATAAATAAGTGCTACATATTTTAATGCTAAAAATGTGTCGATAAATTCATCAGGGACGTGCATATGGATTATCACTCAAATATTTTTAAAAAAACAACATGTGTACCACTGATTTTTGTCTTTTGATATCAAAATCGTGTAGGCCGTCTAATGTCAATTAAAAGTTATCTCTTGATATTTTGTCGAATACGGCCTTCTTGATGAGATAAACGCAATTTTATTAATCACAAATAATAAAATTAAAATAAAAATAAAATTAATAAATTATATATTTTACCTAATTTATTATCATAAATATTATTACTATTAGTTATTATTAATGTTAGTCTAACCTACAGCAATTTCAAATAAAAAGTAATGGTATTTAAGATAATTACAAAAAACCTAATTTTAAAAAGTTTTAACATCCTGTAACTTTAAAACTATGCATTTCCATACCCATGTTTATAAGAACCTTTTTCATATTTTTTGATGAGGAATCAATGAGTACTTACATATTTAAAATTATTACATGTTAATGATTTAATTTTTTGTTTAAAAGTTGCTATTAGACTTGGATCAAGGTAAATTAATAAAAATGTGTTTATCTCATAAAGGAGGCCGAAATCGACAAAATATCAAGAGACAACTTTTAATCAGCATTAAACTGCTTACACTATTTCTCTAACAAGAGAAAAAAGTCAGGGGCGTACATTCTATTTTTAGAAAAATATTCCAGTGATAACCCATATGCACGTCGCTGGTGAATATGTCGACACTTTTAGCATTAAAATATGTCCCATTTATAGTAACATTTACCCTCAAAATTTTATTCGAAACGCTAAAAGTGCTTGGAAGAAAATTATAATAAATCGAAAACATATTAAGACTTTAACACCCTGTAGCTACGAAACAAAGCAGAATCGGACCTATGCTGGTACGAAAAATAAATCTTATCTTTACGTGAAGAATCTCCCCACGAGAGATGGCACATGTTTTTTGAAACACCCTGTATAACCATTTTAAAATATCATTAGAAATAAAGTCAAATACACCGGGTGCATCTCAAAGTGGCTCTCTTATAACTTTTGTATTTTTTCAGATAAAAAACCCAGATTTGTTATGTTAGTATATTATGACATAAATTAGGATTAATTTGACACATTCAATTGTTGTTTGACACTTCCTGCCGGAAATGACTATAACTTTTGATTTTTAAATGGCACCCTCGGTATATTTCTACTTTATTCGATAGAAAATGCCACTCTCAATAGAATGACGTATCATATGTCAACTTTTAATATATAGTAAATAGTATATATAATATAATAGTAGAAATATACCGAGGGTGTCATTTAAAAATCAAAAGTTCTAGGTAGTCATTTCCGGTGAAACAGGAAGAGACCAATAACAATTGAATACGTCAATCAATCCTAATTTATGTCATATACTAACATACGAAATTTCGTTTTCTTATCTGAAAAAATAAAAAAGTTATAGGGGTGACCACTTTCGAGACGCACTCGGTATATGATGCATGTAACTTATCTTTTCGTTTTTTTAAAAATACCCATTTTAAGACCAAAAATATTTTAAAATTCATAAGTCTTTACAGAATTAGTTAATATAAAAACATATTAAAAACGATCAAAAATTTTCCTTAACGTTTAGAACTTGGAAACTACCACAATTAATTAAATTAGTTCCAAAACACAACTAATAGCTATGTTTTGTTTTCATTTAACTAATTATATTGCGGGAAAACCTATGTTATGTTTCTTATACAAAATGTTTTGTATTATATAGTCATTTATTCGGTTTATATACAAAAGGAATAACTTGTATATTGAACTAAGTAAAATTTTTCTTACCGGGAGAATTTTCAGGTCGGGGGTCGGTTTCAGGTCGGGACCCCCTGAATTAGAAAATTCCACTCCTCTAACTCCCAGTAGATGGCATACCAAGAATGTACAACTTTGAGAAATACCTCACTCTAGTATTGAGCAATAAAACGGATTGGAAGAAACGTTTGCTCAGCATGTAAAAGACTATACCATAGCGTGGTATACTGATGCTTCCCAAACCAAAGCAGGGACAGGGATAGGAGTATTTAGGCTGAAATCTAAATACTCCGACCCAACGGATACCTAGCCCAGCATTCTTCAGACAGAAATCTACGCTATCGAAAGATGCGTACAATTTATCTTATATAGTTAGGAACTAACAAAAACAGGAAATAGCCATCTTATGCGATAGTCAAGCAGCGGTAAAAACGATCAACTCAGTAACCACCACTTCGAAGTTGGTCAAGGAATGCCTAGAGAAGCTAGGCAAAGAAAATGAAGTTCTCCTACTAAATTCTTCCTTTTCAAACGGAACCCAAATTAAAGCGGAACTCAAAAACCTGGAAGACTCCATCCGTAACCTGGAATGGGAATCGTCCAACAGTCTAAAACACTCGAAAAATTTTTTGAGAACTTACAACCGAAAAAATTTATCACAATAATATCTTCAACTGTTAAAAAACTATTACAGAATAAGGCATTTCCGACCCATAGCGTGCTATATCAACATTAATATTTCGACGTCTCCTATCATTTCTTGACAGCATGACCCACTTACAGGAATCACCCTGTATATTTTCATTTGTACTTGAAACTTGAAGTAATAATGTAATCACTGATGTTTTATTCATAATATATTTTTTTAACCTATTCACCTAATAAACTATAGTGGTTTTATTAATTCTTGTTTTTGTGTTACATGAGAGTAGATATGTAAAACATGCCCTAACACCACTGCACTTTTTCCTAAATTTTATTTATACTTACTATACGAAAATAATAACTCCAACTTAGCACAAAATAATATAGATTTTAGCTACTCGTATATTTTTTTACAGAAAGTATCTTACTTGGAAGAATATATAGTTTAAAACTAAACAAGAGCCACTAATTATTCAATAAAATTTTGTTTGAACCTTGAAACTATAACGTGATCACTGATGTTTCATTTATAACAACAATTTTTAACCTATTATGGCAATAAACCATAGTTGTTTTATTATGTTTTTTTGTGTTACATGAGTAGAAGTGTAAAACACACCATATTTAACATTATTGCACTGTTTTTCTAAAATTTATTTATACTTACTTTACGAAAATAATCACGCCTCTACAGCACAAAAAGGACAAACCGAACTATAAAATAAATTTTAGCAACTCGTACGATTTTTTTTCGGATTTCAGAAAGTGTCTTAGTAAGGTATAATACGTGATTTTCAAACTAGGCAAGCGATACTTTTTATTGCACCCAGCGGCTAATACAGTACGGAACGGTACTACGCACAGTCGTCGTGCTTGAATAAAATCAATTGCCTACGTCGCGTACCTATGAAAAAGCGTTTTAACTGTAAGCTTTGGCGAGTACTAAAAGTCCCTCGTATATGGCCAACTTCAAGATCATAGATAATAGTTATCGCTCCTCTCACTCTGTGTATGGTATCTGTCATTTCGTTAATTTTATATGCGGTTAGCGAGGAAATATTGCACCAGTACTTGAAAATAATTGATATCGAAATTATAAACATTGTAAGACAATTATTAATGTACAGGGTGTCCCATTTTGGTTGAAATCAAATGGTATCTCCATTATTCGTGTGAAGATAGAATAGTGCGGTTTGCACAAACCTGTACCACTTTTTTGTCAAACGGAAGATGCCGCAAATACAATTTTCATGGTCCTCTTCGTTTCTGAGCTACAGGGTATTTTTGAAAATTTTGCAATTTGGGACACCGCCTGTATCTCTGTTATTGTTAAAGGTATCGAGAAGGTGAAGACTGCTTATTGTAGAACGTTTTCCGTAGAATACAGTGGCATAGTATGTTATTCTACGAAAATAATATTTTTAAAGATATGAACTAAAGGTATGTTTTCTTAAGTGGAACACCCTGTATATTTATAAATTATATAATCTGGCTTGCCACAAGCTTCTCAAAAATATACATCACTCTATATTTATTTTCACTATTTACTGCAATATTTAAAAAGAAATATTAAAATATCATATTTATTATACTCTGTTTTTTTTCTCAGGTAAGATTTCGACAGACGATGACAGAAAAAAAGCAGATGACGTCCCATACCAATCTATTTATTTTACTATAAAAAGTTTCTAATAATTTTTAAGTTAACTATGGATGGGTTTAAATATAAATCCGTCATACGTCGTCTCTTGTTGTTTTTAACCAGTTTTATTGGTTTATTTCAAAAATGACAGATCGTATTTCAATTTTATTGGTTTGACTGAACGATGAACGACAAACGGACGCCGATGCGTATGAACTCGCCTTTAGTTTTGACGCTTGTCAAAGTCTTGCCAAATTAGAGGTTATAATTTTGTGTCAACTTTTGTCAGTTTTGTCAAATACCCTGCGTTTTTGAAGATGGTGCATTTTGATTCGTGTTATGACGTGTGTTTTGTGTCTTTTGAAGTCAAGTGAAGGAAAAATCGAGTGAAAATTAACTGTAAACCCAGACCCAGAGCACAGTTTATGGTTAATACTCGCTGCCCAGGCAAAAGGCTTATACACCAATAAAGATACCATCATTAAAGTTCGTATACCATCTCGTCGTAGATAAGTGCATCTCGAATATGGTAGAAGGACCATACTAAACACATGCTAAAAACTGGAGTAGCTGTAAAATATCGACATCACACGATACGTAAATAATGGATTTTAGTACTGCACAAGAAAAATAATGCCAAAGGTACCGGTTTTAAAAATTAAGATTAAAGTTAATTAATCAACCTTTAAGGTACCCATAAAATTTGGTAAGTGTTATTAATAATAAAATAGTTTGTTTTATTTATGTTGTTTTATTTATTCCTGCGGAATATTACAAATTTGTATTTGTACATTAGTTATATTGATAAATATAATCATAAATGCGGGAAGCTTCATAAAGCTTGAAAGTGAGAAATAGTTTTTTTTTATATTTTTTTGGTATGTGGTGTCTTGTTCTTGTTTGTTTTGTATTAACACATACCGTTTTTTATTAAATTAAATAACTCGATTACATTTTTTCAGTTTTATACAGTTTTTTTCACAATATTTTGAAGTAATCACTTGTCAGTCAAATTTTAAATATAATAATTTCCTGCTATGCGTTCCAGTTGTACCAACTTATTTCTTTGTAAAATAAAATAAACTACTTTAAAATTAAAATGACAGACACATCTATCACTGTCAAGGATCTTCTCGTTGGACAGACTATAGTAGGCCATGATTGATAATAAAAGAAATTAAGGAATTATTAAAAGTATACTGCTATCTGTCTCTTGTTTTATTTTGAAAGCAGTACTAATAAATTCTTTAATAAAATTATATAAGAGTTTCTTGCCTTGAACTGCTAATATAGAAATTAATTCCACGCTGTGTTCATCATAATGTGGATCAACCTGCTTTCACTACCGGTTTCGGGGCCCTACCCCATCATCAGGTGAGCTTGGGTATATCCACAAAACGCGAGCACAGCGCAGCGAGCACAGCGCAGAATATATAAATACGACTTGTCGTAAAGTAGCGGTAAGATATTAAGTCCCGCATCGCGAGATAGCGGCCTGCGTGCAATGGTAGTACTTTCGTACCACCGAGGCACAACTATCGATAGTAAATAAAGGCTTTTTTCGGCTAGCCCAAAATACGGTGGTACGAAAGTACTACCATTGCACGCAGGCCGCTATCTCGCGATGCGGAACTTAATATCTTACCGCTACTTTACAACAAGTCGTATTTATATATTCTGCGCTGTGCTCGTCGTTTTGTGGAAATACCCAAGCTCACCTGATGATGGGGTAGGGCCTCGAAACCGGTAGTGAGAGCAGGTTGATCCACATTATGACGAACACAGCGTGGAATTAATTTCTATATTAGCAGTTCAAGGCAAGAAACTCTTATATAATTTTATTATATACCTAAAAACTGCAAGAAATTTATTTTCCATAAATTCTTTATATACTAGGGAAATTTAACTCTCTACCGCTATTTGTAAATCTTGGAAGCCATCAGGGGTGGATGGGGAAGTGGAAACCGGCCCGGGAAAAACAGGCAACCGGCCCAAATCCACAAAAACAAAATGACCATAACGAAGAAACATACTTTATTTATTATTATATAAGTAAGGATGTTTTTCGCTCGTGCGAAAAAGCTCTTTTGCCTCCGGTTTAAAAAAAATGGCTTGATCAAAATTTTCGTAAAGATCAATATTGGGTCGGACATCTGAATTTTTACTACAAAATGGTTCAGTTTTACAGGGTTCTACTGCTTTATTTCTATTATCGATAACGGTAATTTGATCTTGAATAGGCTACGATTTTGAGTCACGATTTTGAGAAACTTTAAGACTTCCTCATTCATTCAGTTCAGCTGACCCAATCCTCTGTGAAATACATTACTTTTAGCTTTTCGGGTATATACTTTCTTACACATTGTAGAAAGAAATTCTCTCTTTTCTGCTACTGCAGCAGCCTCCTCGAGTACACGTGATTTTAACCGAATGAACCGCGGTCGCCATTAAGACTGCACCATTTTTTAGGTTATTATATAGTTCTCATATTTTCTCATTTTCCTCTATACTTTTCTACATTTGGCATCTTGTATGATAATGCCATGACTCAAACGAAAAAACCTAGGCAATACCTAGGCAGTGGATATAAATCTGTTCTGATGTAATGCTATGTTACAGTCCCTAATAAAAAATATTTGGATTTTCGAGACATATTAAAATTTTATTATCTAATCTAGTTTAAAACTTATTTAACTTTTCTCTGCTCTCTCAGTAATTTTTAGCAAATTCATTTTAGCAACAATTTAAACAACAATTTAGACTTGGTTTTTAGTTCTCAGACTTGGCTTTTAGTCCGTCCCCAATTCAAGCCAAGCATAGATATGTTTTCTCCGTCAACCGCAGAGTTCGCGTCAAATTCGTCTACCTTTTTACAAAAGGGAGCTCGAAAAATATTGCACCGAGGCCCCCAGTTGTCAATCTACGCTATGGAATTCTTAGTATACGAGATCGAGACTGTTTAAATTTACCTAATGCTATTTATCCCTTTTTTTTGCTACCAGTCAGTCATATTTATTAGTTATTAATAAAAGAATAGTGGGTAAAACTATACAGGGTGAGTCTTAAATAAGTGCAAATATTTTCAGGGGTGGTATATTTCGACCCCAGGAACACGTCTATGAGTTTTTTGCAAAAAAAGATGTTAAAAATCGAGCATTTTCTTTTAAATTTTCCTGTACATTTAGAACTTTTTAGAACTTCTTGTTCGCCACAAATTTTCCCACGGTATAGTTTCTTAATCTCTGATATTATGGCACTAGAAGAGGTGCAAATACCGAAAATTGAGGTAGCTCAATTTTTTTTAATTTCCAAACTTTAATAACTCGATTTGACACTCGATAAAGAGAATATATTATGTTTATTTTAATGGGATCTACCAGCCCTGAAAATATTTGCACTTACCTATAGACTCACCTTGTATAATAAAAATTGTCAAACCGAACAAACAACAGATGATTATTAAAATTATAAGTCTCCCAGAGAAAGACATTTTACAATAGTTATTTTACAAATTGGTGTTTATGTTTAAAAGCAACTGACGATTATACTGATGCAAATTGATTAGTTAGTTAGGAGTCACTAAGGATATTACGTCACATTAGTTAGAAGATTAACCATTTAATTTTTGCTAATCCAATCTTTTTTGAGTTCTGATCGGGACCGGCCCACTGGCCCATCTTTCCACCGGCCCACCGGGAATTTTCCCGTTTTCCCATATGGCCCATCCACCCCTGGAAGCCATCGTATCGGAGCTTTTAAATATTCCTTTAACTAATTTACGTGAAATATACTTTAAGCAAGATGAGGCTCCCCCTCACAACTTAACTTACAACGAAAATATTAGAATGTTGTTAAATTATTATTTCTAAAATCAATGAATTGGAACTAATGGAGGCATATGATGGCCTCCCTGATTCCTGGATTTGTTCCTTCTCGATTTCTGATTTTGGGGATTTTTGAAATAAGAAATTATATCGTGGCAATTAACACAATGTCGAACACCTGGAAAATGCTTTAATAATGCAAGATAATAATGATAGACATATTTGCAAACAGATATTTGAAAACCCATCCCGTTAGAATAAATTACGTTATAAAAAAATATATAGAGATTCAGTGGAAGAACAGGTCAAAAGTAAAATATATCAATTCCAAATAAAATTATAATATGTGAATACTCTTGAATCCGAATCGGAAATCTTAAAGATGTATTTATAAATACAAATTAATACGAATTAAAGTAAAATAAAGTAATCAATTACAAGGTTAATTATAGTATTATTACAATATTCAATAAATTATTAATTTAGGTAGGTACTATTAAATTGTTAGAACTTTAGGATTTAAGAAGATGTTCAAAATTTGATGGAGGAATATTTAATATTCCTCCATCGACTGCTAGACAATAACCCAGGCGATCATAAAATTCTCTTCTTACATTCGCTAGTTGGTAAACTGAAATTCTATTGCATTCGGCAGAAGTAGCATTTTTAACTCGTCTAGATTTGGGTATTTTTTATCCTTGTATATCCTATTTTTTAAATGACCCCAGAGAAAGAAATCATTTGGCGAAATATCAGGAGACCTTGCTGGCCAATTTACTGCATGATTTAGGCCAATAACGTTTCCGTTAAAACTATTGTCTAAATATTCAAGAACAGCCAGGGTACTATGTGCCGGGCAGCCATCCATTTGGTACCAAACTTCCTGATTTTCTTTAGTGGCATCATGTAAAGCAGGTAAAATATGATTTTCGAGTAGCTCCAAATAAGATTCTGCTTTAAATTTCGCCTAAGAAATAATGGCCCGGTAATATTGTGTCCGAATATCCCTGCCCAAACATTTACTTTCTGTGGATATTGCGTCCTTGTTTCGACAAACCTGTGTTGGTTTTCTTTGTTCCAATATCAATAATTTTGAACATTGGGTTTATTATTTAAGGTAAACGGGCATTCGTCAGTGAAACATGTTTTTTAAAAATGCCCTATCCGTGTTTGCTCTTTCCATCATATCAAAACAAAACGCCTGCCGCCGTATTTCGTCCCCATCTCGTAGCTCTTGGTGCTTTTCATATTTGAAGGAATAGTATTTATGTCCTTTCAAAATTCAAAACGCTGTAGTGTGATCTATTCCTATTTCATCCTCAAGTTTCCTTGTGCTGATCTTTCCATCGTTCTCTTCCACGCACAATAAAACTTCCAAGTCGGTATCATTTCTTGCATCTTCTCTTTGTTCCTGCCTTGCTTCACATCTGCAGTTATTTATTAGGGTACCTTTGGTCTCAAATCTCTGGATATTTCTTGCGATTTTAGATTTTTCAGGTTTCGCTCTATTCGTATACAGACTAGCAAACATGTCGAACACCTTTTGATAAATATTTCCTTGATAATACCATTTAATCATCAATACTTTTTCTTCGGTAGTGTAATTCATGGCTAATATTTTTGATGTAGGTATGAGATTTTAATAATAATAATAAAGCACTAAACAGATAAATTTCTGAAATGACAACTTCATTTGACAGTTATCTTTTACCTTGACTGGTGCTCATAAGTAAATACAGGGCCATAAAAAAGGAGAAATATTTAAAAAGAAATCGGCGATAACTCGTAAATGGGCTAATCAAAAATATCTAAAGTTATTCTTTTGAATGTGAGTTTTAGTGCTCTTCAATAAACCTAAATAGAATTATTCTCTAAAATAATTAGAGAAGCCAATAATTGACCCCATTAAAATTTACATGGGATTTCCTATGTCCCGCTCGACGATGCAACACCCGGTTATATACCCCCTTCACCATTGCGATTTTGGAAGAAAATAACAACACAATAATGAGTTGACCTTTTATTACACAGTTTTATTTGAATTAATATGTACATAGTTATAAATATAATTCTGTAACCTACTCGTATATGTAGTAAAAGTTCTATTGAAAATAATATTGTGCTGTTTCAAAAGTTACTCCGAATAAGATAATAATATCTAACAACCGACATGAAATATGAACTACGGTTTATTAAACGCTAAAATGGACCATACTCAAACAAATGCAGGAGGCATATACTAGGTACAGTAATATATTACAATATATTTATAGTTTTACTGTTCACCTGTATGCCTTATGTATTTGTTTGCGTTTGGTGCATCATGGCTTTGAATAAACTGTAGCTAAATGTTTTGCCAATTAACATACTGTATTTCTTATAACATTTAAAACAAGTTGTAAAATACAAGGAAGCACTCTAAATATAATATATTTCCCTAAAACATATGAGACAACTACACCCACTAATGCTATAAAAATAAAAATCATTTTTAAACTAGAGTATCTTTGTCTGGCTACTGCGAGAGTCTCCATAGTATCGTTGAGAAGATAGAACCTTAAACCTTTGTAGTACTGACTGAAGTAGTTGTCCCATTTAATTGTTGTTATGTCAAAATTGAACAGTTCCCTATCTTGGAAAGACATTTTCTTTAGTAGCTTATGAGTATTATCGACGTGATGAAAGTATTGTACGGTACTGAGGTATTCGTGATCTTCTTGTAGTTTGTGGAATCTCTCAACACCTCTTGCACAACTAAAAATTAAAAAAAAATAAAAAAAAACATAGGCAGTGGAGTATTTTGGACAAAACATAAATTATGATAAATTTTGTTCATAAATGGTTAAACATTAAAACATAAAAAAATATTTCATACACAGGAAATATCAGCTTTTTAGTTTGACCACATTAAGCAATTATTGTGCTCAGGTAGTAATTGTTAATTTGGAATGCTAATAGACTCTGTTAAATAACTGAAATGTTCTCTACTACTACTGCCATTACTCGCTGACGAGTATTTAACACGCATCAGAAGATGGAATAAATAATTATTATAATTTAATTTTGGTTTGGTATCTTTCATGAGCTTTTCTGTGACTGAAAATCCCGATACGTGATAGTATCCCTCTTCCGCACTCCGGACCTTCAAAAATCTCATTACTTTGTTGCCTCTTTACTTTTTGGTTGTCGCTGTTAACTGAGTTTACAATGAGATATCCACCCGGTTTCCTCTCACCGTCTACAAGCTCACTGTAAAGAAAAGATTTTGGTAGGCAGTTTTTTTGCATCCTGGATATGTGACCAGGCCATCTTAAGCCGGATTTAGTAATTATGACTTCAACGCTCTCGCACCTAGCTTTTTCAAGGACCGATACGTTTGAGATATGGTGGAACCATTTGATTTTTAGGAATTGTCTAAGATGTCTCTGTTGCCACTTGTTTAATGCTCTCATGTGTCGGAGGTACGGCACCCAGGTTTCACTTTCATATAACATGCTGGGGATTAATATTGCTCGGTACACTGCAAGTTTCAAGTGTTCTCTAAGTAGTATATATTTAGACATTTTAAATAGTAATAATATTAACAAAAGGGCAATATTAGAGTTGGGATGCCCTTGTTAAACAAAATTAAAACAAAAAATAAAAGTTTAAAATGGCTTTTTTTTATGGGGTTTGGAATTAGTTTTAGCAACAAGCTGTAACAATTTGTAACAAATTCTGATTCGATATACCTTAATGACTTGGTCGGTTGTAAAGGTAATAGTTTATGGTGTGACTACTTTGTTGTCTGGGACCAGAAGATGAGACTTCACCTGCTCGAAACATGTCGTCCCCCCCCCTATTTGTAAAAAAATTAATACAAGATTCTGAAGACCCTGTGTCTTTATTCCCTCGTTAGAGAGGATGGATATTCTCTCTAGAATAAAATCGAAACATTACAAATTGTCTAATTAGTTAGTTAATATTTAGAAGTCTCGTTAGAGTTCTTATGAAATTAGACTGGGCATTAGATACAGATATGACGGCGGTCTGTTCAACATAAAAATACTCAGGGCAAAAACACGTACAAAATTCATCATAGAACTCCAATACACTGATGACTGCGCTCTAGTTGCAAACACGTTACAACAATTACAAGAAATGTTGAACACATACGAGCCCTAACAACTATATGTTGGGACAAGGTCTTTTTTTGCAATAAAAATAGTAATTTGTTAAAACGACTCAATTTATTTTGTTTATTATTCTAAATTCAAACATTACAATATGATCTAGACAATTTTACTATATTTTTATAACTTTGCAAACAAATCACTTTTGATAATAGCTTATTTTGCCAAAATCAAGCCAAATTTGCTGACAACTATATATTGGGACAGCACAACAAGGAATTTGTTTAATACGGAGTTACATCACCTTTCGCCTTAAGAACTGCCCGAACTCTTAATGGAATTGTATTTACCAAAGATTGGTACATTTGAGGAGAAAAATTATCCCAAATTTCCTGCAGTTTTGTCCGCAAATCAAAAATTGTTCGTTGAGGATGGTTTCTTAAATATTGCTTCATTTTATGCCACACAGTTTCTATAACATTGAGGTCCGGACTACTTGCAGGATAGGATAGAACTTTTATATTATTATTACCGAACCAATTTTTAGTTGATTTTGCTGAATGGTACGATGCTAAATCTTGTTGAAAAATATAGTATCCGTTTGGAAACAATTCTTGAGCACTAGGCAAAAGTGAAGTCTCAAGTATATGTTGATATTTTTGGGCGTTAACAGTGCCATCTATAGAATTTAATTTGCCCAAACCTCTTGCTGGCATGCAACCCCAAACCATAATCCCCTTAGGAAATTTAACAACCCTCTTTAAGCAATCTTTATGAAAGGCTTCTGCATTATTTCGTATTATTCTTTTTCGATAATCTCCAATGCAAACATCAAATTTAGACTCATCGCTAAATATGACCTTATTCCAATCATTTTGGGTACACGATAATTTAGATTTTGCCCAATTGTAGCGATTTTTCTTTTGAATTTCTGTCAGTAGCGGTTTTTCTTTGGCCTAAATAAGAATTTGTACCAATAATCTTCAGGTAATTGATTATCCACACAAAATAAAGTTTACCTTGTAAAACCCCAGACCGCATTTATGGATATATTTTCGGCAACATTCTCTTGATATATTTAATCCAGTTACAGTATTCCATTTAACTGTTACTTCGCGAAGAGTACTTCTTCTCGCAGACGCAAACTTTTACTAAATTTCGTAAAATCTCTCTGAAACACAAACTTTTGGCCTTCCCGAACCGTATTTTTTTATTATATTAAAGACCGTGGTTTTTGGAATACTTAACCTTAACCTTAACCTTTCATCAAAAATTTTTCGAATTATTTTTCCCGTACTGTATTGACGAATGATAATTTCGCGTAGTTTTTGATTTGTAGTTTTTCCACGGACCATTACTTTGGATTAAATTAACAAAATTAAAAAAAATAAAATTACTTACAGTAAGTCTCACTACTCAAAGTATCGAGTCACTTACAAGCTGTCAATGCTGAAGTAAACAGTTTGCGACATTTGTGATGTTTATAGCAAAGCCGCCTATGATATTAATTATTTAAAAATACTTGTCCCAACATTTAGTTGTCAGGCAAATTTGTCCTTTTATGAACAAAATCCGCTACTGTAAATATGGATTGATTTACAAATTCATAAAAATATTGTCAAGTTGTTTAGGATATATGGCTATGTTTATATTTAAAAAATTAAACATATATTTTTCAGTCATTTTGAAAAACCAGGGCAATAATTCCAAAATATGACCTTGTCCCGTCATATAGTTGTTAGGGCTCGTATACCAGGGCATACGAGGCTTTGGGCCTTAAGCTAAACATCAACAAAACCAAAATCATGTGCACTCCCTCGGAAGATCATAACAATATGCTATAAAAATCGGAGAAGAACTACTGGAATATGTAGCGGAATTTAATTACCTCGGCAGTTTGATTTCGGAAAAGGCCAATATCGACTCTGAAATTCAGCACAGGATTAGCAGCGCCTCAAGAGCATTCTGGAAATTAAAAGACAGGGTTTTCTACAATCATGACTTGAGTACAAAAACGAAACTTGCAGTGTACCGAGCAATTATAATCCCCACCATGTTATATGAGAGTGAAACCTGGGTGCCGTATCACCGACACATGAACGCATTAAACAAGTTGCAACAGACACTTTAGACAACTCTTAAGAATCCGGTGGTTCCCATGCGTCAAACTTATCGGTCTTTGAAAAAGCTAACTGCGAGAGTATTGAAATCGTGGTTACAAAATCCCGCTTAATATGGGCTGGTCACGTATGCAGAATGCAAGAAAACCCCATACCAAAATCTCTGCTTTACGGTGAGCTTGTAGATGGTAAGAGGAGGCCGGGTGGACAACTCAAAAGGTACAAGGACATTTTCCACGAAAACTTAAAGGGCATTAACATGCAGAATCATTGGGAAGAAGCAGTTCACAATAGAACTCAATAGAGAAGAATTGTAAACTCAGTTAACAGCGACAACCAAAAAGTAAAGAGGCAACAAAGCAATGAGATTTTTGAATGTCCGGAGTGCGGTAGGCAAATAACATCACGTATCGGGCTTTTCAGTCACAGAAAAGCTCATGAAAGAAAACACCTTGCGTGACCATCGTCTGATACGTGTCGAATACTCGTCAGCGAGTAATGGCAGTATGTATGTATATGAAATTATCTTACCAGCATCGCTTTCCAGTGGTTTTCAATGCAAAATCGACAATCTGTGCCAAAAGAGTATGGAAAATATACCTCACTAACAAATAGTTAGGTTTACAGGTAGTTCTAAAGTGAAGTGGATAAGCGTGTAACTTAGACGATGGCGACTCTTTAGAATAGTTATCGCATAGGTTGTAAATGTCATCTAAAAATCATTTTTTAATCAATGTGGGGTTGAAATACAGTTATCAAATTCACCTTGACTAATTGGGTTATCCTGGGTACTACTAATATTGTAAACTGGCACTTCGAGCCTGCTTGGTTTGAAAGAACTATGAAAATAGATTGAAAAAACAAATTTGAATGGGTGATATTCTGATATTAGATTAACATCGATGATGGAGTCAAGAACTTACTCTGCCGTCTGCCATCCAGCTGCTATGCATTCGTTAACAATAAAATCAGCGGGAACAATATCTAAGTTTGTGTTCTTATAATAAGATATTCTAATCATGCCTAGTACATTTGCCAACACAATTCCTGGCAAATTATAAAAAGTATCGACGAAAGCAGCCACGGGTTCAGCTTCTGTAGAAACAGCTGTAAATCAATATCAATCAATAGAAAAACTGTAAAATATATAACAGGTAACTTAATATAACAGATATTAAGAAACAAGACATGGGCGATCTAGTATACAAATGCATACTGTTCAAGTATATAAATAATGGAAAAGAGAATCAAATTTTAATAAATTATAATTTAAAAAAAATTAAAATGGTATTTTATATTTCACGAAACTTATTGATAAGGCAGGATCACCAGTATGTATTATCAAATCTAAAGTCAGAAATAAATTAAATTTCTTACCAATAGTTGGTCTTGCTATACATATTGGTATACGGTTAGCTTTTCTATTAATATATTCTTCTGCAACTTGTTGAGTAAAGATGGATGTATTTGGAAAACCAGCAATTAATCTGAAAAATGATTAATTTAAAACCAATTATGTATGTATAGGTATATATAATATCCGATGGTCCTAACTGTATTCCGGAAACTTTGGCAGCATATTCAGCAGATAAAAAATAAGTAAAAAAGTTCGAATAAATGTATGTCCAAAAATACTTCGTTTCAAAGATACAGGGTGTAGAAGTTTTATTTTTATTTCGATTTTTTCCAAATAATTTATGAAGTAACGTCAATATTTGGATGAAAATTTGTGTCTGGGAGTTTTTTGACATGATAAATTTTATTTTGATGTCAATATGACTCCGACTTTTAGAGTGCACCACTTACATATTTTTTAACTGGTTTGAAAAGTAATAACTTTTCGTCCGTACCTGTATAAAACTACCGAGTAAGAAATATGCATTTACGACGTTTTTTTACGTAAAAAAGGTCTCTTGGTAAAAATTGCTACCGAGTAATTGTTCTTGAGATATTTGGAGTCGAAATTATTAGTACCTGTCATCTATACTAATCTATACTCTTTTCTATACTAATATATAAAATTAAGTGACTGACATACTGATTAATCACGATCCTGCTCAAACCACTCAACGTAAGAAGCTCAATTTTGGCATACAGGTTGATTCTAGGGTGTAGAGGTTCGATAAGAAGGGATTTTTCGAAATTCCAGTTCCAAGAGGGTGAAAGCACCCCTCAAATATTACAATATTTTTTATTTATGAAACGGTCAAGTTTCCGAAAAAACGCTTAAACACGTATATTTTATTTTGTTATTTTTACATATTTTAAGATTTTTTAAAAATGTATATAGGGTGTTTCGAAAATCTGATTTATTTTCATTGATTAATCACGATCCTGTTTAAAGCGTTTGACGTAAAACGCTGATTTTTGGAAAACAGATTGACTTTAGGGTGTAAGAGGTTCGATAAGAAGGGATTTTTCGAAACTCGAATTCTAAGGGGGTGAAACTATCCCTCAAATATTAAAATATTTTTTATTTAAAAACCGGTGAGCTTTTCGGAAAAACTCTTAAACACGTATATTTTATTTTGTAGTTTTACATATTTTAAGATTTTTTTATAAATTTATACAGGGTGTTTTATAAAATATGCCCATTGAGTAATCACGATTCTGCTTAAACTGCTTGACGTTTAAAGCTGATTTTTGGCAAACGGATTGACTGTGGGGTGTAGAGGTTCGATAAGGAGGGGTTTCTCGAATCTCAAATTCCAAGAAGGTGAAAACGCCCCTCAAATATTACAATATTTGTTATTTAAAAAACGGTTAGTCTTTCGGGAAAACGCTTGGACAAGCATAATTCATTTGGTTTTTTACGTATTTTTAAATTTTTTAAAATATCATACAGGGTGTTTTAGGTTATACAAGTTAATAGGTAATTTCTTAACCACGATTCTGCTTAAACTGCTTGACGTAAAAAGCTTATTTTTCGCAAACAGATTTTTCGAAAGCCAAATTCCAACAAGATGAAACTACCCCTCAAATATTACCAAGTTATATAATAATATCGCCATACTGTTTTTTCTCATGCTGACATAAATGTGAGAAAATTTTATCCAGTTTGTATCTTAATGGAAATTCTTGCTTTGCTTTATCATCACCATTACAAATGATTAATTCGACGCGAACGAAGTCGCTGGTACACGCTAGTTATTTACATAAATTAAACATGTTGACTAAATAGTTATTAGACTGAAATCATAAATTTGAAATGTTTTAGTCCCAAAAGTTCAACAGAACCGGTTTCAACATCTTTTTTTTGCAGGAAAAATTATGATTAATTTAAAAAAATAAAAATTTTCTTAATGTATTATTTCAGTCAAATAACTATCTACTCAACGTGTTTATTTTTTGTCAATATAATGACATGTATTGACTATTTCCATTCTAGATATCTTGAGAACGGTTGCTCGTAGCGATTTTTACCAAGAGGGATTTTCTTCGTAAAAAGTCACGGAAATTTATATTTTTTCACTCATTGCAGTAGTTTTATACAGGAACGGACGAGAAAAGTAATTACTCTTCAAGACAGTTAAAACACATGTAGGTAGCGCCCCCTATAAATAGGAGTCATATTGATATCAAAACCAAATTTCTCATGTCAAAAAAATCCCAGACACCAATTTTCATCCAAATGTTGGTGTTACTTTATAAATTATTTGGAAAAAATCGCAATAAAATGAAACTTCTACACCATTGAACGTTGACTGGGAAGAGGAAAAGTGGTAACGTTGGTTTGTTCATCTTGGATCGGGCTCTATGTGAACTAGGGGGCTGAAACTTGGAATATGTATGGAAGGAGCCCCACCTTTTTATAATATTTTGACGATTTTTCGTGCACTATGGAACGCCATCAATAAATCAAATCAAAAAATCGTCCGATTTAAATGAAATTTGGTATGTCAATAGATTGGACCAAGGCACCTTCACAGGTCGCAGTGTTTCCAGCAAAGGACGGCCCCTTGTTATGAAAAAAAAGGCCAATTTTACCGTGTACGTCACGTGTCACTGTGACAGTTAGTTTTGACGTAAGAAACGTAAAAAATTGATGTCGTCCGATCGTGACCAAATTTGGTGGGTAGGCTATGTGAGCGGCGGTGCACAGGGTCCCACTCTGCAATAGTTGGATACGACGTTTCGTTTACATCTTTATCGGGATGGGACTAAGGATTTGATATTGAAGAAGAATGTGAGTCGATTTCGGCATAATTGGAAACGGGCTACAGGATGACGCTATCGACGTTTCGAACCGATGCCTCTAAATGGACGAAATCATCAGGATTTTTCTCGTAATTATGGGTCGATTTGAACCAAACTCGGCACGTGGATAGAGGTACCCGAATGGAGTCCTCAGACGGACAGACGGTCATTTTAATACAAATTTTGTGAAAGTGAATCAAATTATTTATTAATATTTAATTTATTACTTTTTCAACATTTCAAACTACAGCTTTTCAAACATATCGTTTAAATCCTTCAATTTAATAATTGGTTTTTTTTCACTTTAAATACATAGTGCACACATAACTTTTTTTATATCAACGTCACGTTAGGACATACGTCATGAAATTAGCATGTTTAGTAGTTAAGGGTTTTAATTTGATTCTTCTCTGAAGAGAGAGGGTATTAAATACAGTCAACAACGACATACAAGTACACGAGCTTCGTGTAAACCGATCTGAACCCGTAACATCCATTCTCTAAAGGCGAGTCAGTTGCGTTTCCACCTTCAATTAAATCGTTATTTAATTATATCGTAAAATTGTTTACAAGTGTTTAATAACTGTTCCTCGTACCGAATGTCTTTACACGCTCGTCTCTATGCAAAATAGAAAATCCGTAGCTAGCGGTCAAGTTTAAGACAACTATTGTTCATAGGTTTAATCGTGCTATACTCGAGTCTATCAAACGATGTAAACTTTATGAGGCTGTAAACAAGTCGCCATTTTATTTAAATGGGTTATAGCATTTATAATACTTAATACGAACAACACCTAATACAGGGTGTTTCATCTGGAACTATATCCTAACTAATAAACTAATAATTCAAAAGTCCTATTTTCGTTGCAATTGTTTTGGTTTGGTTTGGTTAGGTTTGCGCATAAACTCGAACTATAGATCATACCAAATAAACTTTTAGTCGCGTGATTAAACTTGACCGGCATAGATTTGGCCACTTTTACATTTTTTCTTTTAATCAAAATATTTTAGGAAACAAAAATAAATTAATAATAAATATATAAACAGTTATTATTTACATCAACAAAACTCAACTTCTTAACAGCATTTAAGGGACATAAAGGACATTATTACCGCTTTCCCGTTCAAAATATTCTTATAAAGTTGCCATGAGTTTTTTGCAACGGCTTGTACACTTCGCACTAAGAGAGGTTCTAAAAAGAACAATGTTCGACTGCCAGGTGTGCTAGTAAAAATTTTAAGCTCAAAGTATCACAACACAATTCATTTAAACTAAAAACTCGTAATACAAAACTAAAGTGTCAAAACGAATGACAATGTCAGAAAATAAATAAATAAATATGGCAACTTGACATTTTTTCCAGCAGACCTACCACCTGAATCCCTAGTGGGAAATTTAAATTTCAATTAGTCAGCGCGTCGCGCGGCGCCGAATTTGTCAATGGTTGGCAACAATGAATTTAAAAATCGCGTCCTCGATTACATAACTAAAAGTTTAATTGGTATCGCTTATACCTACCATTTAGCGAAACGTAAAATATCAACAGTAGGTTTGTATTTAATTAAAAATATGAGGCAGTATATGAACCAAAATAGTATTTTTCCAAAATGTCTTAAGACGGCAATAATAATTTCTCTGCATAAAGGAGGAGACAAATATCAAGCTTCTAACTATCGCCCAATTGCACTCCTTCCAAACCTATCTAAGATCATAGAAAGGTTGGTGAAAATAAGGCTGGTATCTTTTCTGTTTAAATACAAAATACTTACTGAACATCAATTTAGATTTCTAAACAACAAGTCCACAAATGACGCTATGTTTTCCCTCCTTAATAGAGTTTACTCCAGCCTAAATAACCATCATTCTACAGCAACAATTTTCTGTTATTTTTCTAAGGCGTTCGACTGTGTAAATCATAAGATCCTAATTAATAAACTGCAGCACTATGGGTTCAGGGGAACATCTCTCGAATGGTTTAAGTCGTATCTGAGCAATAGAAGTCAACTTGTGAGGGTGGATACCGCGTTGTCTTCTAGCAAGCCAATAGAATGTGGAGCACCACAAGGCGCAGTACTAGGCCCTATTTTGTTTCTTCTTTTTATTAACGACATTGCTAACATAAACATCAGTGGTAAAATATGTCTTTTTGCGGACGACACTAGCTTCATTTGGAGCAACAAGGACGTCACAGCACTTTATAGGATTATATCAAATGACTTAATCTCCATTAAATCTTGATGCGATTCGAACCTACTGAGTCTCAACATTTCTAAAACTAAAGCTTTGTCGTATAAAAACTCGCTGCAGCCTTTTGTACTTAACAACACCAACATTGATGTCGTAAAATCTGTAAAAATTTTAGGGCTTGCTGTAGACAATTCTCTGAAATGGGACATGCATATCGACGCTTTGTCGAAAAAATTAAGCTCTGCCTGTTTTGCATTAAGATCTGTTTCTAAGGAGCTTAACTTGTCATGCAGTGGCTAGAACTATTTATTATGCACTTTTTGAATCGCATCTCAGGTATGCCCTACTTTCATTCTGGGGTACGTGTTGTGCGACTCAATTTGACCGCATTTTCAAGCTCAAGAAGAGAATCAGGACTTTTTTAAAAATTAAAAATATTAACTCTTCGTTCCTTATTTATATTTGAATCCGTTTGCCTAATACGTAAGCATGTATCAGCTTCTCAAGAAAGGCCATCTCACACTTATCCACTCAGGAACGCGGAGCAAGATCTTTATCTACCTACCTCACGCTCAGAGTTAGTTAAAAGTTCAATATTATACAACTCTAAAAAAATGCACAATCACCTGCCATTTGAAATCAAATCCATAGCATCATTTTCTTCATTTCGCAAAGCATTGAATCTTATTTACTAGACAAGGCTTTCTACGCCGCAAATGACTTATATTTTGATAATCGAATTTGATCTTGTAAACACTGGTCTAATGTTTGCTGTTACTATATTTACTATTTACCAATGACACACACGCACACATCGAAATAAATTTATCTAGAGGTCATTGATATTTACTAGAAACTAACTAAATATTTTTGAATATTATTTTTATTTTTTTTATTCTTTGACATTGTAAACATTTATAAATGTTTATTTTAAACAATAAGACTGACAATGTTTTTTGTATAATGTTTTGTATTCTCTTTTGTTTGTTTCTTTGTTTACTCTGTTTGTTTACTTTACCTTTGTCTACAAATTTTAATTTTTTTTGACAATAAAGGCCATTTATTTATTATTTATTTATTTATATTATATATTTATATTATTTCTATTATAGAATAAATAAAAATTGTGAACTTATACTGGAATAATACATTTTACTTACGCTGGTGTGGCTTGAGATAAAATGTCATCACTTAAACTCTCGCAAGCTGATATAAGGTTTTCTGCTAAAATATTAGCTGGATAAACTTCCTCTTTTATCTCCATTCGATTGCAGTTTGAAAATCCATTTCCCAAGTGAATAAAAACCTACAAATTGTTTAGAATATTTAATGACTTTTATATAATTAAGATCAAAATAATTAGGGTGTGCGGAACCGGAGCTGTTTTTCGGAACCGGGAATTTCGGTAGTACCCTTGTCTATATAGGGTACTACACATCTAAGGATGGAATACATCCAGGAAGAAAATTATAATAAATAGAAAAAAAAATAGGACTTTAACCTCCTGCAGCCACAAAAGAACTCAGAATTGGACTTATGTCTATATAAAAAATAAATCTTATTTTTACATGAGGAATCTTGCCACGAAAAATGGCACATGTTTTTTGAAACAGCCTGTAGAAGCAACGTCAAATTTGGTAGCTGAAAATATGATATCAACTATAAAAAATTTCAAATAAACGATTATATAGGGTGTCCCAATATTCCGTGGATATAGGACTACGACGTATTTTCAGAATCAAAAGAAGTTCATTGGACACAATTTACCTCTATACAAAAGTGCTTCGTTTGTCCGTTAGGGGGCATCAATTTTTAAAAAAATAAACATATTTTTTTAAATATTTTAAGAACCGTTATCCCGATTTGAATCAGATTTTTGGCGTCTATGTATTGCTAAGAGCTTTAATATTTGCCTTTAAAAAATTTGAAGAAAACACCTCTACATAAATTTTAATATAAATATTTTCCAACTTAACCGATGACCGAATTTTTAGTCGACCATACCAACAGGTATGGTAGGCTATTAAGATCGGCAAAAAAAAGTTTTTTTAATTTCACTCAAAATGAGTTATTTGGGTCATAAATGACCTAAATACAAAATATTTTCATGGTGTCTGTCTGTCTGTCTGTCCATCTGTAACACGATAACTCAAAAACCGCTAAACCGATTTTAACCAAATTTGGAACAAAAATACTGTGGCACCCGAGAATCTGGCCATTAGTTTTTGGTGGGGGTGGGGGGTTGATATCGGGGAAAGGGGAAATAACCGCGGACCAAAATTGGAAAAATTCCTTTACTTTGATACTAAAAGAACTGCCTACCAACTTTTTATTAACATATTTTAGTATGGGCGGCTATACGTGCCTCCCGGCGCCAATTTTTTCTCGTAGAATGGTTCTTCTAGTATTGACTACATTTTTTGTCTCTTGTAAAAAACGCCACCGCGCATACTTTTTCAGAAAAAAAAAAGATTTTTCCGAATCTAGTACATGAAGCTATGGAGGCGAATACAGTTTAATAAATAAACCCTAATAATCTAGTTGGCGAAAATATGAAATTTTATGTTAGTACCACAAATTATATTTGACAATATGCTTCATAAAAAGCTTAAAAAAATAATAAATTTTAAGTTAATTAACGTTCGGGTTTATTTTTGATTGAAGCTCTCTAACTGACAAACAAAGCACTTTTGTATAAAGGTAAATTATGTGCAATTAACTTATTTTGATTAAAAAAATATGTACTTGTTCTCTATCCACGGATTATTTGAACTCACTGTATATTTTGTAGGTCTGCTTTGGAAAAATAAATTCTCCAAATTTTTTTTTCCTCAAAAACTATGCTATGTGGCGTTTTTTTACAAGAGACAAATTATGTAGTGAATACTAGAGGGACCATTTTACAAAAAAAATCGGTCGTAGGTTGAGTTGCAAAATATTTATACTAAAATTTATGATGGGGTGGGGGTAGTTTTCACCGCTTCCGTACTTTTTCTCATTTTTTTGTGAAAGTCAAATGTTAAAGGACTTAGCAAAACATAGACACCCAAAATTTAATTCAAATCGGAATACAATTCTTAAAATATCTGGAAAAATGTATTTATCTTTTCGCGTACAAAACCGTACAGAATACCTATATCCATTTTTTTCAGAAAATCATGTTTTGACGGTTTTCGGATCTATGTCGTAATATCTTTAGACCTATACAGTCGTTTTAGGCCAAAACTGTATAAAGCATATTAAAATCCCCAAGTTAATTTCGACGTTTGGAGCAAAACCGGTTATGTCCAAATTTTGCAAACAAAAGCGAATATATCCAGATCTACATAAGCAAGTCGTACGTATTGTTAGAAGTTTTTTGTAAAAGTTGATGGAGCATTTTGGGAAGATTAGCAAAACAGGGAAGACCTCTGGCACAAAAATTTATTGAGCAGCGACGGAAAGACAAAAAGACAAATTTAGGAAAATAATGCAACCCAAAAAGATCAAGTCGAGCTATGCTATTGCCTAGATGAAGAAGATGCTGTACATATTTGATCCTTTTATCCTTTTCTTCAAATAAAACTTTAACGTGTTCTGGTATTTCCCCATTATCCCCACAGAATCTGCATTCGCCGTTATTTCTCAGCTTCAGCCTACTGAGGTGTTCGTTGAGGAGACAGTGCCCTGTTAGAAACCCCGTGACAATCCGAAGATTGTTTTTACTTTAATCAAGGAAAACCTTTGATTTTTCTCGGTCGTAAGTTCTGAGCAACTTTTTTGAGTGTCTTAGACCGTTGGAGGACACCCATTCCAAGTTACGGATGGAGTCTTCCAGATTCTTCAGTTCCGCTTTCAGTTGGTTCCCGTTTGGAAAACAGAACGGTTCTGGTCCAGTTAGTGGAGTGTTCGCTCCTTTCCAACTAGATCATTTGCTTTTTTCATTGCCTTCTATCCCTGAGTGAGCAGGCACCCAGAGCAGGAGGACTTGTTGATCTTCTCTAGGCATTCTTTGACCAACTTCGAATTGATTATCGGATAGGATGGCAATTTTCTGTTTTCGATAGTGCCTATCTAAGATAAATTGAACGCATCTTTCGATAGCGTAAATTTCTGCCTGAATGATACTGGAGTAGGTGCCCATTGGTTCGGAGTATTTAGCAAAATAAAAACACTAAATCACCACAATACACCAAAACACTTTTACTTTTACACTGGACGCGCGTTTCGCTAACCATGTTAGCATCATCAGCAGATGATTATAAACTCAGTTTATAATTGTTTATATACTCAGTTTATAATTTATTTTGCTGTGTAACACCAAAGGTTCCAACCCTCAACTGTAATCGGAGTATTTAGTTTTCGGCCCAAATACTCCTATCCCGGTCCCTCCTTTGGTTTTGGAAGCATCAGTATACCGCGTTATGTTATGGACTTTTATATGCTGAGTAAGCGTATCTTCCTTCCAATCCTTTTAATTACTCAATACTACAGTGAAGTGTTTTTTAAAGTTGTAAATTCTTGGTATGTCATCCACTGGGAGTTGGAGAAGTGGAATTTTTTTTTGAGGGTGTTCCAAGCCCCTGACCATATACGTATTACTTTTTACAAATATACTCAGCCTAATCTCCAAAAAGTGAAGCACATACAGTGAAAGAACAATATGGAATTCTGCATAAGTCTATTTCACCCGGATATTCATTTAACTGAGCATGCCTTACCTGAAGAAGTTTTCATTGGTCGATGTTTTTAAAGGGAAGTGGTTGACTGGCATTTCCCCTAACCTTCAATTTTATTTATATTTTTATTATTTATAACACATTATCATGGAGTTGGAAAAATATCAAAAAATAGTTGGAAACAATAAACTAAACAAAATCACTCTTTTACGCGCACAAATAAAAAGTAATCCAAACAGAACTAAAACAACAATCAATCGGAGTTTGGCGCAATCGCAGTTCAATCCATATCCGGGTGAAATAGACTTATGCAGTTTTAATATGGAGCTGGGTTATGTTGTCTTTTTCTTACGGCACAGAAATTGCACACGGGGTTAAATAGGGAACCCTGAGTATATTTGTAAAAAGTAATACGTATATGCCCCTGACCTGAAAATGCTCCCACTACTGTTTCCATCAATGACCATTCTAATCATTGTCGCATTGGCATAACTACCGACAACAATGTGCAGTGGTGTTAGGTCTAGAGTGACCTCCATTGCTGCTGTTGGACATGTTCTCATGGCACCTGTGATGCAGATACATGCCAGTCTACTGTATTCTTAAAATAGTCCTATTTTCTCAATTAAAAATTTGGGGCGTTTTTATCGTCTCCAGAATTTTTTTTATAAACGGATATATCCGGTTCTGTACGCGAGCTCCTCAGTTATAGTTTGTTTGTGGTCCAATGAACTTATTTTAATTCCAAAAATACGTAGTAATTCATGTTCACGGAATATTGGGACACTGTATAGCTTTCATTATTCAATATTTTTAACAAAACAGGGTATTATTAAAGGCTTGAAATAAAGTAGGCAATAAAATATCTGAAAGTAATTAATTACCTTCAATTTTGGGATCTGCTTGGCCAGTTCGATTAAATCTATGGTGGCTTTAACATTTACTAAAGTGGCCTTTTTAATATGTTCCTCGGTCCTTACGAGCGCGGCGCAATGAAAAACAACGTTTACGTCTTCGACGAACGCCGTTCTATCCTCTAACGATAAACCCAAATTTGGTAGCAGACAGTCTCCCCGCATTAAAGTGACTTTTTTCAAACTATCGGAAGATGTCCTCTTCAAAAGGTCAAAAACCTAAAACAGACATAAACGGTTTTACTTATTGTAATGAAGAGAGTATGTTTTCTTTGTTTACGGCCCATGTTAATAGTTATTTTTTATACAAGACGATAAAATGGTATTTTATCGTCGACCGAAAAGATTAATTCACGAGCGATGAAATCGCGAGTGAATTAATTTCGAAAGACGATAATGCAATTTTATCGTGATGTATGAAACAATATTTTTTATCAATACGTTTTATAAAATATTCAGAAATTATTATTTCAAGGAATTTATTACGAGTAGAAAAAATATTGTGCTGGGTCGGCGTTGGTTTCTATGTAATTTGACAAATAAATAAAGCTGTCTCCGGCTGTCTCTTTAGTTGTCAGTTTTGAGTAAATATTCTTTAATCATGTTTTTTAATTCTCTTTCGTCATAGTGTCGATTGCTGATTGAATTGGAGCCAGAAATGGCTCAAAACGAAATAAATAAATTACCAACAGATATTCAGGCTGAGGCGACAAAGGCCATATCCAAACTACTACCATTTAAATCCCGAATAACTTATAAAAAGGAATACAAACATTTTCAAAAATGGCAAAAAGCAATTAAAAAACGTGCGAGAAGAAATAAAGTTTTTTACCTATCATCCGAATGGTAGTCCGAATTGTATTCCCGAAAATTCGACAGCATATTCTGCAGAGTAAGAAAGCATAAGTAAGAAAGTTCGTATAAATGTATGTCCTAAAATGAGGCTTAGTTTCGGAGATACAGGGTGTTGAAGTCTCATTTTTATTTCGATTTTTCTAAATAATTTATGAAGTAAAGTTAATATTTGGATGAAAATTTGTGTCTGGGAGTTTTTTTGGCATGAGAAATTTGATTTTGGTGTCAATATGACTCTTACTTGTAGAGGGCGCTACCTACATATTTTTAACTGGTTTGAAGAATAATAACTTTTCGTCGGTACTTGTATAAAACTACTGAGTAAAAAATATACATTTACGACGTTTTTTACCTAAAAAAGGTCTCTTGATAAAGATCGCTCCGAGTAATGGTTCCCAAGATATTTGAAATCAAAATTATCAATACCCGTCATAATTCACATAAATTAAACATGTTAACTAAATAGTTATTAGACTGAAATCATAAATTTTAAATGTTTTGTGCCAAAAATTCATCAGAAACTGTTTTATCATCATTTTTTCGCAGAAAACTTTATGATTAATATAAAAAAATTAACATTTTCCTAATTTATTATTTATGTCAAATAGCTATGTACTCTCAACACGTGTTTATTTTTTTATCAATAATGACATGTATTGACTATTTTCGTTCTAAATATCTTCAAATCGGTTGCTCCTAGCGATTTTTACCAAGAGACATTTTTTACGTAGAAAGTCACGGAAATGCATACTTTTTCACTCAATAGTTTTATACAGGTACGGACGAAACGATATTAACCTTTAAAACAGTTAAAACACATGTAGGTGGCGCCCCCTACAAATAGGAGTCATATTGACATCAAAATCAAATTTGTCATGTCAAAAAACTACCAGACACCAATTTTCGTCCAAATATTGACGTTACTTCATAAATTATTTGGAAAAAATCGTAATAAAAATGAAATTTCTACGCTATTAGGACATACATTTATACTAACTTTTTTACTTATTTTTAACTGCAAAATATGCTGCCAAAGTTTCCGGAATACAGTTCGGACCACCCTGTATATATATATATATATATATATATATATATATATATATATATATATATATATATATATATGTATATGTATTTTTTTTCTACTATTTCCAGTGTTCTGTTATTTATTAGAATGTCTTTTAGATTTTAGTATATAGGAGTACATATATCATATATTATGTATATTTATTCTAACTTTTTTACCTATTTTTATCTGTAGAATATGTTTCTGAAGTTTCCCGAATACAATTCGAATCACACTGTAGATCATTCCATAAGGGCTCAAAGCTCAAACGCACTGACGACCAGGTCGCAGCGACCAGCATTTTATTCAATGTTATTACTGGTCGCAGCTGTGTTTCCTAATATCATTGAATCAAATGCTGGTCACTGCGATCTGGTCGTCATTGCGTTTGAGCCCTAACCTTGCTCTGTATATTCAAATTATCCAAATAGCTTTTCTTCGCACTGATGAAGTTTTTTATGCGTTAAGAATAGATGTTTTGAATTCAATAACATGAGGGATTCTCGAGGAATTTTCTCGAGGAGCATTTCAAATATATTGAAAATCCAAATATTATAAATCAATGTTTATCTACTTACCGGTGATTCAAAGAGTTTCTTAAATCTCTCAGCAGCAGATACCTCATCCTTTTCCCGAATTAAAATATAAACATGTTTAACAGGCAAACCACGAAGTATCTTCTCCAAAAACAATTTTCCAATAAAACCGGTGGAACCTGTCAAAAATACCGTACTATTTTTATAAAACCTCTGTATGTCCGATAATTCGACTTGTTGGTTGTCCATATTTTTATTTTTTACAGAAATCTCAACAACAGTCGTTTTATATTTTCAAAAATGCAACTTTTAGAAATTGATCTATACACAACCAGTGCTAATGAATACCTGATCGCAAAGTTCATTAAAGAACAAAATTTAAATGTATTAATATTAACTAGATATTGTTACTTGTTTACCTTATGACGGAAAATTTGTAAAAATCTAGAAGCGTCACAAAATGGTTGTTGAAAAGTATTATAAATAGCATACCAATTAATTGGCATGTTATTTTACAATCGGTGATTTGCTTGCTATTCAACCTATTACTTAATGTATTGTCATAAATTATTAGTTTTTATCGTGAATATATAAACTTTTAAGTATTGTTTCTAAGTCGACTAAATATTTTTGAGTTACTTGATTTAGTAAAGATTTATTATAGCAAATTGATAGATAAATACTTTATAAGTAATTTTTTAATTTAGTGATTCTTATCCGTATTTTGAGTACTAGAAACCTACGTAATAAGGTACAGGTCAAATATGCCAAACCTGATTATGTATTAATGAAAAACTAAATAATACAGGTTGGTACTCTCATACGACGCGGAGGCTCCACGGTTCCTAGATATTTTATAGTAGTTTATATGTAAATTAAATTTTGGGAATATACAGTACCGGCCAAAAGTGGAGAAACTTTTTAAATTTATTTGCTGCCGTTTTACAAGAACGAAAATGTTTATAAAGCATATATATTTATACATAGGATAACACTGTCTCATAAAAATACACACAAGTTTTTTTTGGAAAAAGCCTCTATTAAATTTTGAAAAAATTAAACTAATTTCTATGAGGACAAAAATGGAGAAACTGGTATTTTTTATACATTTGTAGTCGTTAGTCTCAGTATTTGGTTGCATAGCCTTTACTTTTGATGATTGCTTGGCACCTTTTGGGCATAGACTCAATCAAGTTCTTTATTACATCCCCGAATATTTCATTCCAGGCTTGTAATAGGGCAGCGAACAAACATCATTATTTTTAAATTTGTCCCTGTTTTTACGCCTAACATCGACTTCTAGTTGATCTGGCCATTTGATCATTTCAACTTGTTCCTCGGTTAAAAATTCCTTAATACGTTTGGCAGTGTGTTTCGGATTATTATGGTGCATACATTTCCAGGTTAATGAGAGAGAGGATTCAGCATAAGGTACCATTGTTTCTTGCAAAATATTTAAAAACATATAACGATTCATAATTCCATTTATTTGAACAAGGGGCCCGACCCCATGCCCAGAAAAATAACTCTAGACTAGAACGTTCCCACCTCCGTGTTTTATGGTGGGTATGGTGTACTTGGGATTGAATCTCTCATTGGCAGGACGTCTCACCCACCTAATACCATCCGAACCAAATAGATTGTACTTGCTTTCGTCTGACCAGAGTACATTTTTCCACTGCTTGTAGGTCCAATTTGCATGTTCCAATGCAAATTCTAGTCGGGCCTGCCTATTTTTCTTAGAAATAAACGGCTTTCGGGCAGGTGTTCTGGCATTTAGTTGTGCCTGTTTCAGACGCCGTCTAATGGACCTAACACATATAGAAATAAAAGGATATTCGTTCCTTATATCATCCGCAGTGCAAAATGGATTTCTAAGTGAATATCTTCTTATTATTTTCTCTGTCGCCAAAGTTGTTTATTTTTTGGTCTTCCGGGCTTGGGTATACTAGCAGTTGTCCCACGATTTCTATACAAATTAATCTGTTTGCACACAACACTTTTATGTAAATTGAAGTGACTAGCAATATCAATTTGTTTAATTCTTGAATGATACTTCTCAGTTATGATTTTTTTTATTTGATCTGTCAAATTTATCCCGCGCGGCATATTTTTACGCTCTGTGAACCCAATACCACGATCTAGACGCTTTAACAAGAGAATATCTCACAGAATGTTAAGAAGAAGATAAGGTTTCTCCACTTATGTCCGCTAGAATTTGTAAATAATTTTTTGCCTGCAAATTTATTCACAAAATAAGCAGTTTTTATATGGCTATACAAAGCAGATTAAATGCGAAATATTTTCTTGATATCCTATTCTGCAGAGAGTAAACTGTATTTTGACACAGTAAAAATATTAAAGTTTCTCCACTTTTGGCCGGTACTGTATGTAGGTTAATTATTAAAAGCATTTTATAAAAATATATAGAATTCTACAAGGTATCCCCAAAAAAAGTTATGTTTTTGTAACGGAACACCCTATACAGGGTGGCGCACCTCATTCGCCTCGGATTATTATACGAAAACGGAAACATGTAGAAACAAAATTTTTATGGGTATATGTAGAGAGGCATGTGCATAATTTAAAATTATTTTGAAATGTACAGGACATGTCAGAACTAAGATCCATACCAAAGTTATTTTTTTTCTTATGGAACACCCGGTATTTTATTTCATTTTTGAATTCTTGAGCATAAAATAAGGAATTTATTATAAGGGTTTAATATGTTTAAATGCTTGAGATATATAAAGATATTTAAATAAGCATGCTATAATAAAAAAGTTTGTCAACGCCATGTATATTACTTTTCAGATATAATTCATGTGGTGACTTTGAAGCTAGAGAAATAAACTTTACTAAAAAATTTGATTGCTTTCTTAAATGTATACAGGGGTATCAAAGATTGCTAGTCTATTTTGAATGTTTATTTTGCATAAAAACTTCGTTATTTCAAATGCAACACCCCGTATTTTTTTAAATAAGTCGATGCAGATTTAGATGCTCTTTCAAACTATATTAGTGTACTATACCTATCTGGCTCAGGTTTTGAATAAAAAACGATTTTTTAATAAAATGGCAATCAAGATGGCTGGTGTCACCATGGCAATTTGCTGGTGACAGTTAGTAGCTATTTTCAAAATCGACGTTAGTGTATGGACTTTATTGAAATTTATAACAATTTGTTTTTATTTAATTTACCTACAAAGTTTAATAAGTAAGTATTTATTATTTTATCAAGAAAAATAAAGAAGTAGTTCTTTGATTTATATTACGATGACTTTAGATATATTGGATTTTCTATAAAAGAGCCAATTAAGGCAAATTCATTTCCTTCAATTTCAACGACAGGTTTCTGTCTAATAGGTTTTTCATATACCACACACTATCAGCTCTGTGAAATATGAAAATTAGTTTTTCAAAGGAACGCTTGTCAAGAAAATTCCTGTTTGGATATCTTTGAGCATAAACCCTTCAGGCCAACAAGTAATTGTCCTCACAAAATAAAATCACTAGTAAAATATCCACAGTGGTGTAACTATCGATGTGCCGTGTGTGCGAAGCACACGGGCCCGGGCCCTCGGGGTGCCCGGGTCGCATTTCCATATCTATCACATGTTATCGCGAATCAAGCAGAATCGGGCGATCCCGAACTAAGTTCTTATCTATCACATGTCTTCTTAACTATTTAACTAGCACACGCTATCGCGAAAATAACTTATTACTTTACACTTGTTCTTGTGCAGTTTTGTAGCTGTGTTTTCCTTTTTATTTTGCAGAATAAAAATAACTGGAAATATGTGATTTTTCATTAGAGCATTAAATTTGACAAAAAAGAAATTTGCTGTATTGTCACTGGATTTCTGTACCACTGAATAGAAATAGAACTAAGCTAGTTGTAGCATCAAAAAGAACATGAAAAATTATACTGGCCAAACTAGTTAACTCAAAATCACAAAAACTCTAGTTACCTAATGGTTGTATTAAGGGGACAATAAGGCAGCTGAGTTACGAGGGGTGCCCGAAACTGCCACTTTTTTAAAATCACCCTGTAGCTCAGTAACTAAGAGGGCCATGACGAATCCTATTAGGGCATCTCCCATTTTGTCAAAAAGTAGCCGACTATTGTGAAAACCTATTCATAAGGGCAACAAAACACATGAAAATGGGATACCCTGTAGATACAAGGTATTCCATTCGTAAAAAAATATCTTATTATCGCACCCTGCATACGAAGGGCATAAAAAATTGCTATAGCACTTAAATTCAATTTGTTCTAGCTTCAAATAATATCGCGATTACCTGTGCTGGTTACGACGGCAATTCCCAATACTTCTTTCTTAACATGTTCATGTTCCTATTTACATTGTTTATTTTAACTTAGTTGGTTTTGTTGTTGTTTGTTTTGTTTTTATTTATTTCTTTATTTATTTGATATTTTATATGTTTTGGGTTACATATTCTGTGTTGCAGTAATAAATAATACTATATAAAAATTAATTTGATGTTATTATTTCTAACCTAAAATATGAGTGCATATTATTCAGATTAGTATATAAGTATTGAAATATGTAGGTGTAATAGGGGGCCCGGTAAAATTTTTGCACAAAGGCCCGTGAGTCTGTTGTTACGCCACTGAATATCCATTCCTTCCGCCAGCAGATAGTGCTTCATTTTTCTTGATAAAATAATAAATACTTACTTATTAACCTTATTGCAGGTAAATTAAATAAAAATAATCTGTTATAAATTTAAATAAAGTCCATAAACTAATGTCGATTTTGAAAATAGCTACTAAGTGTCACTAGAAAATTGCCATGGCGACACCAGCCATCTTGATTACAACTTTATTGAAAAATCACTTTTTATTCAAAATCTGAGCCAGATAGAAATAGGAAACCCTAATTTAGTTTGAAAGAGCATTTAAATCTGCTTCGATTTATTTAAAAAAAATACGACATAGTGTTGTATTTGAAATAACGAAGTTTTTATGCAAAATAAATATTTAAAATAGGCCAGCAATTTTTGATACCCCTGTATACATATATACAGAGAAGTATATATCTATACAAGGAAGCAATCAAATTTTTTACTAAAGTTTATTTCTCTGGTTTATAAGTCAGCACAAGGATTAATTCTGAAAAGTAATGTAGTTATTAAAAACACAGGAATGTGTTTTTATTATAGCATGCATATTTAAAGATCTTTAAATAACTCAAAAAGCAAAGCTTCTAAACATATTAAACCCTTACAATAAATGCCTTATTTTATGTCCAAGAATCCAAAAATGAAATAAAATACCGGGTGTTCCATAAGAAAAAATATAACTTTGGTATGGATCTTAGTTCTGACACAGCCTGTACATTT